TTTTTTTGGTTACTCAAAATTCCAATGTTTAATAATTAATAAAAAAAAATTATAGATTAAAAAAGAAAAAAAAAACACAACTGAAGAATATTTGTAAAAAAGAAAAGAAACTGTCCATCTTTCAAATATTTATAAGTTAGTGCTATCATATTATTTGAATTAAATTAATAATCTAAACTTATTTTGCTACTTTATAAATAATTTTACATTAAAAAATCCTTATCCTGGAAAGAGGTATACATTTCTATTATAAACTTAAAAGGTTATTCTATGTACTGTCTCAGTTTCTATTTATATGTCTAAAAGGGAAAGAAAAAGATAAATTTTGTTCCCAATTTTAAGTCAATAAATAAGTTCAAAAATACATTAATTATATTTTTATTGATAATTGTTTATTCCTATAAGAATTTTAAATGTAATAAATAAAATATTAATGTTTTTCCTTTATTATTATGCTATGTACTACCTCCGTTTCAATTTATCTGAAGAGAAAGAATTATACATGTAAAAAATTTAATTATTTTGTAAAATTAGTAACTAAACTTACGTATTATTTGTTATTAATAAAATGTTCAACTATTCAAACAGTATAAATACATCAAATAAGAATGAAGATAATATTATATAAAAACTCAGAGGCATTTCGCAAGTGGATCTTTCTCTCTAAGTTATTTTTGTCCTCATTTTTGGGGCCAAGTAATATGTCGGAACATGAAAGAGCAATCAAAATTGAAAAAGTTGGATGGGATCACATGCATACATTTTCAAAACATGCATGATTGTGATATTAATATTTTAGGTCTAATGGGTGGAAAAAAGCTGTACAATGTGGTGGGGTATACTCAATTTGATGATGAAGCATTCAAGTTTATTTCCATTCAATTTACTATTTCTTGTTCAACAGTTGCCAGAGTTTATATTTATTACCATTTATGTAGCAATTAAATTTCCTCTACTCACTCACCTCTTCCAAATAATAAATTTTACACTTTGTATTCCTCTACACCATGATTCATGCTTGTTCATAATCAATGCCCCCAACAATTCCATTTTCTTTTAATGCATATATGTTTATCAGGTGTTCATTGCCTGCCTCTATCAATATTGTTTTTAACTGCCTATTTATATAATTCTCAGTTAATGATTTTTTGTTGTGTATGTACCATAAACTATTTTCATTAAAAGTTATCAAATAATATAAATTTCACTACATCAATAATATTAAATATTATAATCTTTAATAAAAAAAAATGTTATATTTTTTTTAATATATATTTTTGGATGCACATTAAAAATTGATTAAATAAATCATTATCTTATACAATTAAATGCCGCCTGTTTCGGAGGTGTAAAAGTATCACTGTTTCTAATCAATTTTTCATCGATGTGCTGTATCTTACATTTCATGAAAGGTAAGAATCATGGTGATCGTCGAGTTTATGACAAATATTAAATAAATTTGTATATATTTATTATTTTAGAAATGTAAAAAAAATTAATACATTCTTAATTTAATAATTAAGCATGCGATCCTTTTGTTGAAAAACAATTGTCAAATGTTTTTTAAAAACCTTTGATATATATATATAATAATTTTTTTAAATAAACTTGTCGTTACTTTATAAAGAAAATAATAAATAGAAATGTATATGCATGTATTATTATAAAAAAATATTTAATAATTAAAAATTATATGCATAAAAAGTATAAAAGGTATGAGGATTTAAAGCTATTTTTTTTTATCCTGATTAGAAGAATAATTCTCTTTATAACTGTAAAGTGTATAAATCCTCTTGTATTAAATGTAAAGTGTTCACTGCCACTCTTATTTAAGATTTTTTATATCCCCTTAGTGCTAATATGATCGTAAAAAATAATTTAAATAGTAGTGATAATAGATGTTTAAGAATAATAATAAACACCCAAAGCTACTAAATATTTTATTAAATACTTATTTTATAAAGGAGAATACAAATTATTTGAATTGTAGAAGAATATAACAAAATTTTAAAAATAAAAAAAATATTTTTAAATGTATGAACTACTAAATATTTCTTATACTATTATTTACTATAAATTTTATAATATAAATGAGATATAATTTTGTTTTGTTAATCTTAACGTTAGAAATGATTTTAAGAATTTAAAGATAACAATTTATTATTAAAAATGAGAATATTTATTTGTAATAAATATTTAATTTAAGAAAAATAATTTTGATTATTTAAAAGAAAACACAAGACTTAATATTTATTAATTTTAAACTCATTAAATGTAATTACACCTCATAAAATCTAACCAAAGTAAAAAATAAATAATAGAAAGTAATTTTAAAAAGTATTTTTTTCACAAGTTGGATAGAGTCACACTATTTAGTGTGCCTAAAACGCGCATAAACACACTTTTTCAAAGTCCTAGCAGCAGTCGGCAGATGACCTCATACAAGTCAAAATAGCAACTTTCCAAGTCAAGATGGGTAAAATGGGTTATTATATTTAAGAAACTAAAGATAAAATAAATAATGACTTAGAATGAATTTCATTTAACTGTAAATAAATACAATTCATGTCATCTGTATCATGGTACTATCATCCCTAGCAATATAAGCGTGACATAAAATTAATCACTTACTTAAATACTATTAAATTATTAATTTGATGGATAACTTTAAGCTTGCGGAAAAAAATGTTTCATGGCAGCAGTTATTTGCTGTGTACACAATTTAATGGACGTAATTCCTGATTCCTCATTTTAATATAATATCATTCTTTTGATTTTTCAAAAAAAATAAATATAATTTTGTTTTTTACTATATAAAATATATCCAAATTGATTATATTTTATCAGAATCAGAAAAGTAGAGATACAATAAAAGTTTGATTTAAAGACTAATTTATTGACATTTTACACACTTGTTATGTGACTAAGTTATTAAGACATTTTATATCTTTTTCAGACTAATAGTTATTTAAAAATTAGAAAGTATTAATGTATTTTCAACTAAACTACTAATTCTATTATAAATTAAATGATAATTATTTTATCTATACAATAAATCTTACTTATATTTAATTGTGATCGGTAAGATAAAATTGTTATTTTTACCTAAATTAGTACCATATTTTGAGAGCCATGTATAAAAGTCTCAACTAAAGAATAATTAATTTGTTTAAGCCTTAGATAATTAGGGTTTTAAAATCCACCCCATTGTTGTTTATTGTTAGCAAATCAATTAATATCAACACAATTGTCTTGCCAAAAACTCTACCAAAATTTTTATTAACCTGAGCAATGAAATGTTTTTTACAGAAATATATTTCTCTCACGAAATTCCAACTACTCAAGGAGCTAAAGACCATCGTCCAAATCCTCACCAATTTCAAGGATTAAATTATAAACCATTGTCATTTCAACATTGTTCATAAATTATTCATAACAAGTTTTGTAAACTTTTAGACTATTATTTCAAGGGATACATACTTGATTTAATTCAAAGTAAAGTATTAAACTTGAGTTTTATGTCAAAATTTTATCATTTGTTATCTCCCTTTTTTATTTTTTTTAAACATGTCTCTAAGAATTTCTTTTTCATAATGTCCTTTTGTTAGTAATTTATTATTTTTTCTGGTATATATTTTTGTAATATTCAACTTAATTTTATTACACAAGTTTTTCAAGTTTATAAAAAAATACAAGTGTCAGATGTCCTATCATATATATGAACGAGTTGCTAAAGAGTAACACTTCCAAAAATCATAAAGATATTGTAAAATCGTATTTAATTGAAAAGTGAAGTAGTCATTTAGCATGTGATTTTCACACTACCAGCTTGGCCTCTTGAAGTGAAACTATCACATATGTAACAGTTATATGACAGTGTTAATTATTAAGGATCTAATTTAAAAAAATTAAATCTGTAAGGACCTGATTAAAAGTTTTAGAATTATGAGGACATAATTAAAAATTATAAACCCTAAAGGATTAATTTAAATTTGATTCTGTATTAGAAATTTACTTAGATAATAAATAATCCAATATGTTTTTGCAGGTTGCGAATCAAATGGGTTTGTTCATAAGCTCAATTTTATTTTATTTTAAAATTTTGATACTTTTATAGATGAAAGCTGTAAAAGCAAAACATTCTCAAACTTTAGGTCTAAATTTAGGTTTTCAACTGATATTTAGTTGGTTTTGCTTGAAAGGTCTAGTCCACATATACAAAAAAGCAGCTTAAATGTAATAAAATAAAATAATACAACAAAACCAAAAAACAAGTTAGTAGGTTAGCCCAACTGAATATTATGAAGTGGCTTAAAAATTGAAGTGAACTGGACTGGACAATATGACATGTGTAATACAAGAGATAATGCAGAGAGTACATTTCAGAACTTGTGTGATACATTATGGAAGAGTTTCGTAAAATAATGACATGAAAAATGAAAATTTAGTTTGAATATATGATATCGATGCATAATTTTAATATTAAATATTAATATTTAAAAAATAAAATATAAATTAATGATATAATAATTTTATTGAATTTTCAAAAAGAAAAAAGTATCATACAAGATAGAAGAAAAAGTGTAAAGTTGAGTGATGCTTGATTGCTTGTCTCCATAGGGCTGATTAAAGAGAACTTAGTCCAATTATTGAGAATCCCAAGGACGGTTTGGGAAGAAGGATTCTGATTTCTGAGAGAGAGTCCCATCCCATGGATCTGATCTGAACCCGAAACACTCTATCATTGCAACTTTGGTTTACTTTCATCCTCCCACAAAAAGTTATCAAAAAGGCACTTTGCATTTTTCACAGTCATTCACAGGCTTTATAGGGATTCAGACCAAAAAAAAAATTGGAAAAAGAAAGAGAACAATCACAGTGTTAATAGTCAACCGACCCTTTTTGGATGTATCTATTTGTAAGGCTTCCAAGACTCCACATGTTTACGTTTTATCTTCACCTTTTCCCTCTCTATCTCTCTCTACTGATTCCCCAAATCTATAACCATTTCATTTTCTTAACTATCAACCCTTTTTTCTTTAACATTTTTTTTATCTTTTTTTTCTTAGAAGCTTTACAATAGTCAAGCATGCAAAGAACGAAAGCACAAACACTAGGGTTCTTGTATCCTTTTCCATTTAACCTCAACCCATTGGACTCAAGCTACCCTTGAACCGTGTCTTCTGAGTGCCACTCTCAAAGGGTTAGTGAGAGAGGGATAGAGAACGAAGAGCCAAGCTTCAACGAAGAGGGTTTTCTAGGCTTGCCTTCTTTCTCTTTCTTTCTCTCCAAATAATAGAAGAAAAGAAAAAGACCTCAATTTTTATATTTCCTTTTCGCTACAGAGAGAAAGTTGAGACATTGGGGCTTTATCCTTTTGTCTCCTCTATCTCTCTGTCTCTATTTTTTTTAGCCTTTAAAGTTTCTCCTTTGGTTACTCTTTCAAGTATAAGGTTGTTTCTGAGCGACCCATTTCATCTTTTGAGACCCTCTTTGGTTTGAAAATTCTGGGTAGGAGAATTGACTCTCAAATTGTCATGGGCGAAGCAAATCGCTGAATAAGGAGAAGGAACGAGTTTAAGGGTTTGAGGGAGAAGTTTTGGCTTGTTGGCGTGCTTTTGTTAAAGAGAAAAAGTGGCTTCTTTGATGAGTTTTGGGGGGTTCTTAGACAACAACACAGGTAGTGGAGGTGCGAGAAACGTTTCAGATATTGCTTACAACAACGTTACCACTACCCACCACAACAACAACAACGATAGAATGCCCTTTGCTGCAATCTCTCAGCCACGCTTAGTGACTACTACTCCCACTTTGGCTAAATCCATGTTCCACTCTCCAGGGCTATCTCTGGCACTTGTGAGAGATCTTGTTGCTTTACTTGTTTTAAAAAATGTATTGGTACTTTGTTGTACTGTGTTTGCTTATTTTTTTTTTCATTTTTTTTTTTTGGGTTGTGTTTGGAAAATTAAAAAATAAAACTAAAGCAGCAAACCAATGTTGATGGGCAAGAGGATGTGAATAGAATGGCTGAGAATAGTTTTGAGCCTAATGGTTTGAGAAGAAGCAGAGAAGAAGAGCACGAAAGCAGATCTGGCAGCGATAACATGGATGGTGCTTCAGGTGATGAACACGATGCTGCCGACAATCCTCCAAGAAAAAAACGCTATCACCGACACACTCCTCAGCAAATTCAAGAGCTTGAAGCGTATTTTCATTTTCATCCTTTATTATTTTAAAGTTCTAATTTGTTAGATAAAGTTGTGATTTTTCTAGATTGTAAAAATGATGTTCTTCTAAAAAAAATTTTGTTTTCGATGGAGTTTAGGTTGTTCAAGGAGTGTCCTCATCCAGATGAGAAACAAAGGTTAGAATTGAGCAGAAGGCTTTGCTTGGAAACGAGGCAAGTGAAGTTTTGGTTCCAAAATCGGAGAACCCAAATGAAGGTATGACACTGCAAACTCTCATCAAGTCATTTTCACATGGCTTTTCTTTCTTTTTGAGGTTTCTGATGCACCACGGAACTTTGTTTTTTCTTTTTTTCCTTTGTGGTGTTTGTACAATTGTACCACCAGACCCAATTGGAGCGCCACGAGAACACACTTCTTAGGCAAGAGAACGACAAGCTTAGAGCAGAGAACATGTCCATTAGGGATGCAATGAGGAACCCCATGTGTTCCAATTGCGGGGGTCCAGCTATTATTGGTGAGATTTCACTAGAGGAACAGCATCTTAGGATTGAGAATGCAAGGTTGAAAGACGAACTTGACCGAGTTTGTGCTCTTGCGGGCAAGTTTTTGGGTCGCCCCATTTCTTCATTGGCAAACTCAATTGCTCCTCCGTTGCCTAACTCAAGTTTGGAGCTTGGAGTTGGGGGCAATGGTTTTGGTGGGATCAACACTGTGCCTTCAACATTGCCTGATTTCACAGTGGGAATGTCTAATCCTCTAGCCATGGTGTCTCCTACAAGTACTAGACCAATGACTGTGGTGGCTGGCTTTGATAGATCAATGGAGAGGTCTATGTTTCTTGAGCTTGCTTTGGCTGCTATGGATGAGTTGGTGAAGATGGCACAAACGGGTGAGCCTCTTTGGATCAGGAATATTGAAGGTGGAAGAGACATTTTGAACCATGAGGAATACATGAGGACATTCACTCCTTGCATTGGGTTGAGACCCAATGGTTTTGTATCCGAGGCTACCAGAGAAAATGGAATGGTCATCATAAACAGCTTAGCTCTTGTTGAGACCCTTATGGACTCGGTAAGCTATTTGACTGGCAATTCACAATTTCTTCATTTTTATTTATTTTATTTGAGTGTTTTAGCCTCTCTCTTTTTTAAAGAATATTGTTTTCAAATTAAAAAAAAAATATTTGGGTTTGAATGTTGGGATAGTTAACTCTATCATGCAATGAATGTTCCACAGAATCGATGGGCAGAGATGTTTCCTTGCATCATTGCTAGATCTTCCACCACTGAAGTGATATCTAATGGAATAAACGGAACCAGAAATGGTGCACTTCAACTAGTAAGTTCAAATTCTCGATAGTGTTTCACTCTATATTGTGGAATTCGATGTTGCAAGGTTTTTTTCCCCCTTATTAAGGGAAAGGTGTGTGTGGGACTTTTGGTTTTGACCCTGTAAAATTGTTGTTAGATGCATGCTGAACTTCAAGTTCTTTCGGCTTTGGTTCCGGTTCGTGAGGTGAATTTCCTTCGGTTTTGCAAGCAGCACGCAGAAGGGGTATGGGCTGTGGTAGATGTGTCCATAGATACCATCAGAGAAAGTTCGGGTGCACCAAGTTTTGTCAACTGCAGAAGGCTTCCTTCTGGATGTGTGGTGCAAGATATGCCTAATGGGTACTCAAAGGTAAGTTGCAAATGATCTTTCTGGGTTTTTGGTTTGTGGGTTTCCTGTTTAAAAGAAAAAAGACCAATATAATTAATTATTAAAAAATTAACATTGTGATAAAATATATGTACTTTATAAAATTGTTAAATTTTAAGTTTTTAGTAATAATTCATTACTAATGCATTTTACTAACGCAGTTCCATTTGGGTGGTTATTTAATGGTATATATTCTTGCGAGTGGTACGCATTCCTTCGTTTTACCTTTTTATCGGAAGGAAGGAGAATGAGAGATGTTCAGCCTTTACTTCTTTTGGAGTTATATTTGTTTTTACAAAGACAAAGTCTTTTATATCTCTTTTTATCTCATCAAGTATTTCATCACACTTTTTTTCTTATTTTTTAAACTAAGTTGTAAAAAAATTTACAAATATTTTGTACCATTATCATTTTTTTTTCTTTGGTAGCATAAAAAGCTGAGTGCAAGGGTGTAATAGAATTTGGAGTGTGAAAATAATTTTTTTGTTTTGGATTCCAAATCTCTTCGAGGACAGTAAATGATTTGCGACCTCCATACAACAGTGTGTTTATGTGTGTGTGTGTGTGTGTATATATATATATATATATATATATATATATATATATATATATATATATATATATATAGACACACACGGACGGCGAGAGAGATGTAGTGTTCAACATGCAGCTACTATTAACTAAAAGCATAGTCTTATTGGCTTTCATGTCTTTCGCTCGAGTTTTTAATTACCGTAGTTGAATTTACTGGATCATAAGAGCTAAGAGTACGGATTATCCAAGTGAAACGAAACACCATGCCAAGGAATCACGGGCTTTTGTTTTTCGAAGCTATTATTAATCCCAGTCTAGTGACTATTTACTATATAACTACTATGTCAGTGATTATTTCAAAGAACTTGTATAATTGATTTGCACCTGAGTAGGATGCTTCTCTTTTTCTCAATTATAATAAATTAATACCCCCCATGTGGTATAAAATCTATATTAATCCATTAATTTATTCATAGAAGCCTCTATCACTTAAATTGATGTACCTTGAACACATTAATTAGATGGATCCATTAGCGAGCAGTTTGCCTTGTAATCTTGCACGTACTTTTTGGTTGTATAAACAATATATATGATGTTTCTATTCCAATCTTAGATGCTGTATTGATAAATCCCCCAGCCCACTTCGTGCATTATTAAATTCACGAGACTGAATGTAGCCTAGTTCTAGACCTATCGTCTCTAGGTCTGTTACATATTATATTCGAATATAATATTAAATTCATACCCTTGGAGTCAAAAATCAGAGCCTGACTATTTTGTCTTTTTCTTGTGAGTTTTTGTTTGGAGTTGAGTCACATTTGCAAATCTCGATGCACACAGTGCCCGTTGCTCCTGTAAAACCTACTTGACTTTATCTAGTACCAATATTTTATGTACTTGGTCGAGGTCCATGAGATACCTTTGTCTGTCGCCGAGCCCAGTCTTCAGGCTTTTCCAAGATTTGCTTTTCACATTTTTCTATCGTGATCTTCATACCTAATGACGGCACATAGGAAATTAATTAATTCACTTGCTCCACCCGTAATGAATTTCGAACCCAATTAATCTATAGGCCATAATATATACAAAAATTACAACTTTTAAATGCATATATCGAAGGCAATATATTACTTTGGAAATGTTTTGTAACATGATATCGTGTGGGAAAAATGTTGCACTCTATAAAAACATTGGCATGAACATGTTTTGCATTGATTAGGTGACATGGGTGGAGCATGCAGAATACGATGAGAGCCAAGTCCACCAGATGTATAGATCGTTGTTGAGCTCAGGAATGGGGTTCGGTGCACAACGTTGGGTGGCTACCCTACAACGCCAATGCGAGTGTCTCGCCATCTTAATGTCCTCTGCAGCACCCTCGCGAGACCATTCCGGTACTGTTTCTATATATACCCCATTAGAAGAATTATATATGGTTGGCTGAATAAAAGCTTATTTCAAAATATAAATAAATACTTATTTTTCAAATCATGTGTGAATATTAGTGGATGCTTATTTCCGTCATCCTTTTTACAATACTCTCTTATAGAATTTTAAAAGTATATATTTAGTTTTTATAATATTATTTTTTTAAGTTTTTTGAATAATTAATATGGTATTAAAGTTTGAATTTGAATAAGGATAAATTTAAATATTCATTTTTAAAACTTTTATTATTAACTAATTTATATTTTTTTCATACGATTTAATTGAAAAAACTTATAAATAGAATCAGAAAGAGAATAGTTGATAAAATGGTTTTATATTTAATAAATAAGAAATGAAGTAAGATTTTTGTAAATATTTATTTGTAATGTAAAAATTAATTTAAAAAATTCTTTTACCAATCATGATCACCCATCAAATGGGTATGTATGAATTGGAAGGATGAAAGAGAGATATAAAGAAAATAGTATAATAAATAATGTAAGAAAAGAAAGAAATAGATAAAATAAAATAAAAAATAAACACAAGATTTTGAATTTATACATCTCTAAGTAAAAAATATCATTTATTATATTAAACTTATAAAAGTCTAAATTATATTATATTTTTTATAAAATTTTACTGTTATTAAAGCTAAAGGAAAGAGTTATGTGGATGCAGCAATAACAGCGGGTGGGAGGCGTAGCATGCTGAAGTTAGCGCAACGCATGACGAACAATTTCTGTGCGGGGGTGTGTGCGTCGACGGTGCACAAATGGAACAAACTCAACGCCGGCAACGTCGACGAAGACGTCAGGGTTATGACGCGGAAGAGCGTCGACGATCCCGGCGAGCCACCTGGCATTGTTCTCAGCGCAGCCACCTCTGTGTGGCTACCCGTTTCACCCCAAAGACTCTTCGATTTCCTTCGCGACGAGACCCTCCGAAGCGAGTGGGACATACTCTCCAATGGTGGTCCCATGCAAGAGATGGCCCACATCGCCAAGGGCCAAGACCATGGCAACTGCGTCTCTCTCCTGCGAGCCAGTGTAAGCAACATCTGCCTCTCTTTATTCTTTCTCTCTCCATCAAATTCTCCTATTATGAAATTGTTATACTTTTATTTTAAAGTTTGAATATAAAAATATCATTTTATTTTCCTTTGTTTTCTATTTTTAAAAGTTTGTTCAAGGAATAATATAAATTTTGATGCATTTTTGTTTCTCATATATATATTTGACAAAATAAAATAAAAACAAAGCGACAGTTTTATCATTAAAAATTAGATAATATATATATTTTTCAAATCAAACACCTAATTGGACTCTTAATTATTTACCAAGGGAAAACTGTCAACGTGTATGAATTAACTGCTTAGTATTCTAGTAAAATTGTTACTGATGAGTTAGCGAAAGCTTTTATACATCTTGTACGATAATGTAACAATATGCATTTTTGCTTTTTTACATAATTTTGTTATCAGGGTTTTATTTTTTGTAACATAAGATTATGATTTATCTTTTACTTTCACTTGTGTTTAAATTGGAAATATCGATGAGGTTGTTTGTCGTGTAATAGTTGGATGAGAACGGTTGAAATTTTGAGGACGACTTTGATGCGAATTTTGGAAAGCATCAACAATAGTAATCTTTGATGAATCAGTAAAATAAGGGTTTTTGTAAGAAGTCAAAATATAGCGAGGGTGTCACGCTACGTAGGTTCAGACTTCCATTGTTTTATTCAATCTTTGTTCGAAAAGTTCCATATGAAAAATGTAAGGAAAAAAATAGGGATCAGGGTTTGACCAGCTTAGTTCACTCTAACTTCACGAAAATGACTACACTGTTTATTATATTTTTTTTTTATTAAATATTTTTTTTTTTTTATTTTGCAGGCGATGAATTCGAACCAGAGTAGCATGCTGATACTGCAGGAAACATGTATAGACGCGGCAGGGTCGCTCGTGGTGTACGCGCCGGTGGATATTCCGGCCATGCACGTGGTCATGAACGGTGGTGATTCGGCTTACGTGGCATTGCTTCCTTCAGGGTTTGCCATTGTCCCTGATGGGCCCGGGTCACGTGGGCCGCAGAACGGGCCCACAACAACCACAAACGGCGGTGACAACAGTGGTGGGGCGGGTGTAAGTGGGTCCCTTCTAACGGTGGCGTTTCAGATCCTTGTGAATAGTCTTCCAACGGCCAAGCTCACGGTAGAGTCGGTGGAAACCGTGAACAACCTCATCTCCTGCACAGTTCAGAAGATCAAAGCCGCGCTTCAATGTGAAAGTTAATCGTCACGTGACCCGTTGAGGATGTATTGGGTTTTTTTTTCTTCTAATTTTTTGGGGTTTTTGCAAATTAACGCTGTAGCAGTGAATGAAAGTTGGAAAACGTGTAATGTAATAGGTGGCGCGTGGGAAGGGGGTGGGGGTGTTTGAGTCAAGAACGAACCGCGCGTGGAAAAAAAAACCAGAAAAAAACTCCTTGCATGGTGGTAAGGATCCGAAAGCGGTTCGGGTCAAGTTCCTTAACACAAGGCAAGGGGTCGTGGTTCGGGTATTGACTCGGGTTGACCTCATGTTTGCTCCACAAGCTGAAAAACGAGAAAGCAATAGAGGAATGGAAAAAAAAAAGGAAAAGAAAAAAAAAGGTTTTGTTAGTATTTATTAATTAATTATAATGTTATATTAGCTTGTATTGATTTGGAGTTGGTGGGGTTTCTAGTTTGTTGTATGAAATCAAAAAATTTAACACACTATCCATTTTCATGATGGGCTTACGGTGGTTGATTTGATATTATGATTCACGCGCTGCTTGGTGGAGAAGGGTTTCGATTGTGATGATGGTGGTGGTGGACATGGTAATGGAGAGTGTCTGGCATGCATTTAATGCGGTGCAGAAGCTGTTGGGAGAAGCGTTGCCATCATTTAATACTACGGTTCTGGCATGTTGTCTTCCTTTGCGTGCGATAACCAATAAGGTTCTGACACGAGCTGGATTGAAGCATTATCTGACAGTGAAACAACAGTGGGGTTTATTATAGATAACGCCGTTTTGGCTATGAGAGAGAGGCTTGATTTGATGTTCATCCGTTACCTGTGTTGTAAGTGATGATGATTTGAGTTCAACCAAAAAAAAGTGATAATGATGTTTTTAATACAAGTTGGAGGTTTGTGCCCTTGTAATCCTGGAATGAAGTTTTTTGAATTGGTGTCTTTGCAGGTTTACAACTTGTTTTGAAGTGTTTTTTCAATCTTTTATGCTCAACTTGTTTATATGGCAACAGAAACAAGTTTGTTTTGGTTGGGAAAAATTCTAGCGTCCATCTTGATTTGGACTTCGAATTTTCTGCATGTTTGGACTTTTATTCAGGCTCAGGATTCACTTCTACATGGGGGGAAAACGGGAAAATATAGGAATGTTTTATTTTTATTTACCATCAAAATCTTTTGAATATGAATTATTTTACTTGTATTTTAGACACTTAATTTTGTCAAATTAAGATTATTTAAAATCAAGTTTCTAAACGAACAGTCATTGAGTGCTCAAAGTAAAAAAGGCATTGATGGAATTGGAAGTTCTAGGAGTAGAGAAGCCATTTAATAACATTGCATGTAGTGAATGGATGAAAAAAATGCATCCTTGTAAATAATAATATTAGCTATTTTTATGACTTAAGTGCAGCAGAACTAAAGTTTTATTTAAACAACGTACCTAATGATAAAAGTATCAAAGGTCAACATATCATCAACATTAAATATCGATATATACATATAATTGAAATATAATTTAAACTTTGTACTTCAATTTTATCCTTATTTTTATATATACATGTGATACATATCACAATTTTGAATACAATCACACTAATTTAAGAATGATCTATTTTAAAATATGAAGTGTATTTTTATTAAAATAAGTACATAATAATTATTATTAATTAAAAGTTAATGATTGACATTTTAACATCATGGTTTTCTGTTTTTACAAAATATAAATTTTATCATAATCTCAATCAAAAAAAATTTCCAATTAATTATTATTAATGTATTTTATCTGTCAAAATGTATGTCATATTTTTTAGGAGACATCTTAGAATTGTAAGATAAATGTTTTTTTTTTACTGATTTCAACTGCAATTAAATGATAAAATTTATGTACATATTTAAAATGCTGAGTAGAATAATATTAACATTTATTCATTTTACAGTGCTTTGTCAACGTCATGATGTAGGTCTTATTTCAAATCAAACTAGGGAAAGGGAAAGCTTATAACTAAGGTAGCCGTGGACAATGTTACCTAACTATAGTTTACAAGAAACTTTGACCATGTGAAAGCTTCAAGGTAACGACGCAAGGAAGAAAGCTTACGTTAGATCCTATTTTTCGATCTGATTCATACTCATCAGCACTGCCCGAGTCAGTCAACTTCCCCGAACTCAAATTATTAGAAAGGAAATAAGTTTCGTTAAAAAAAAATGAAAAGTTGTACATAAATTTTATATAAAATACAAAGAAAGATAAAAATAATCGAAAAGAGAATGCAGAAGATAAGATGAAGTGATCATGAGCTTGATGAATGCGTGAGAATTTAGAAGGGGTTCTAATCATGCATGACAATGATTTGGAAATCGAAATTTTACCGAGTTTCGTTTCAATTTTAAAATTTCTAGGGAGTGATTCAATTTGCTTCATGATTTTCTAGTGATGTTGCATTGAGATTTATGATTTTATGTTACCCTGGTAGATGATTTATCTGGTATCTAGTGTGTTCTTGGACTGGTGGTTAAAATTTATTTTTTTCATGTCTAAATTAAAGTCATACTCAATATTCCGATTGTATTGTTCCAAGTTTATTAGATTATATAACCAGATGTGCAAATTGAAATTACTATTGCAACATTTGATATGAATTAGTAGCATCAGTTATGCATGCTCCTTGACTGCACAAATACACTCCTATGACTGTATAAGCACGAAAATTGTTGCTTCGTAGATAATATTTTACTACAAAACCATAGTTTATAAAATTATAGAAATCACGCTAATGAAATATACGTGAAACTGATCTTCCTCCATTAATTTGACGCTTTCTTAAAAATTGCAATTATAGCAAGAGTTTTTCAGATATGTAGAACAACTACATCAATTATCAATGTACTATATTGTAAAAAGTCCTATCAGTGAAATGATGTTAGCTAGCTAACTCTGGATAAGTTCAGGGTATATTTCCTAACTAGTTCCCAGAATATGAACTCGTTACTGTTGGCGAACAGTATCAACTTTGGAAGATTAGAGTGATTTTCTAATTGGGAAAGTGACTCTTGCTTCAAGAAACAGATGTCCCATCTCCACTGATAATAACACTTCATATTTCCCAATAATGTCAATAATAGATATGAGGATCTTAACAGTCACCATGAATGTGTGGGTAAAAAGCTCTTTTGGCCACTTCTAGTGTACCTACCCATTCAAGTTTCTTGTTGAGTCAATTGCTTTCAGTTGACAAATATGCATGTTACTACTCAATCAATGGCATGGACTTCATGCACGTTGCCAATATTATTGTAGACATTTCACCATAATCCCAGAGTCTCAGTTATGCATGTTTGGGCCCTCCCTTGTGGAGCCCCTTCCAACAAAACCCTAGAGATATGCTTTTCTTTTTTTAAAAAAATTTTTAAACACACTTGATTTTATTCCTTGCCCTATGAAGGTTGAATTGAAGGAACTTTTGTGTGAATGTGTCACAAGATATACATATATAGAATTAAAACCCATTTTAAATTATATATGAGTGAGTGATATGGCGAATTTCTAATGAGTGATAATAATTCCCCACCCCACCCCACCTCACCCTCCTTCCTATTTAAGATATAATAATATAAAGGACCCCACTTTCAAATTTCTAACTCAATACAACCATTGAACCCAGGTCATAATGTCATGTATGTATATATTTGTGTAGGTGGTGATAATTCCACTATGAATCACATTTTGATCTTTTTTAAGTTTTCATGCATGCACATACATAAACAAAGGTACACGTGAGGTGTGATAATCTCTCAAATCCCAATACTAGTAGGTGTGGACGAAGGTAATAAAGTCAAGAAAACGAAAGGCTATCGGAAAAAGGGAATGGCAGTTGGCCTTTTTAATTTTGCTAGCTTTAGGACATTATCTTATGGACCTGTTTCTTTCTATATTGGATCATCTACCTCCTCACCCTTTCCTTGTCATTCTTGTGTAATCCCAAAGTCCCCTTCTCCTTGTGTTATGATGATGCATTCGCAGCCACCTTCTTTCTTACACATGATGGTGGGCCCCATGATTCCCCACATCCTTGAAACATTATGTTAAGACAATGATGGCAACATTTGGATGTATTAGATGGGATTAGAAAACTACATCTTAGACATTATTAGCTCCCCCTATCTTCAAAAGCCTTTGAGAAAATGTCAATGAGAAGTATGAGGTGACTTTGATGGGGTAGTCCTAAAACTACAACTTGAAAGCTTTACCCATTAATTATGATGGCCTTTTTAGGTGGTCCATTGATTATTCTAAGTAATCCAAATAATAAAAAAGATTTTGCGTAACATTTTACTAACTATAGCCTGAATTGATCTTTAAGAAGTTGGCTATATGTTTGTTTGGATTTAGGAATCCAAGACGACTATACTACAAAATCATGTGGCTTAGCTATTACATTAGGTGTGCATACTTTATCGACCCTCTTTTTATCCATAATTTGAATAAGCAATAAAGCAATAAAAAACTAGCAACCGAAATTCTAATTAAAAGTGGAAATCAACAGAAAAAGAATTATCCAAAAATTTTATGATCAGTTTGTAGCAAATATCTCAGGGAACTGATATATCTCTTGAAAAAGAAACTACAACATTTATTTGTACATTTATGGGCATCCAAATTATATAACGACAGACTTAAAAAAATAAGAGTATGTGTGGAAGTTGAATTTTAAACGAAAAGAAAGAGAGTTGTATAATATTTGCAGAAACAAATAAAATATTTATAACATAAGTTAATACTAATTTATTATTATTTTTTATTTTAAAAATTATTAAATTAAATTACTCTATTTTTTTTCATCAAAACCCAACTTTCAACCATACCCCAAAGGAAAATTCATAATGTCTGACCTTTACTATCATTTACTAAATGTATGTTTGGATGGGTGTTCTTTCAGGAAAATGATTTCACAAAAACTAACAAAAATAAATAATTATTTCATTAAAATAAACTAAACTAAACATGCACTGAATCTAATGATTATTACTTCGTCAAAAGTTATAGCCATTAATTGGACAAAAATTTCTTTGGGATTTGTCTCAATTATATTTCGCTTCCTAAATTTAACTAGCTCTATGTAAACTTATATAATTAACAGTTGGTGCCTTTTTTTTAATAATTTATCTTCTGGAATGTTTCAGATTGCTTTGATGTGCCGTGTACTCTCAACTCATAATAACCACACTACTTCTGAAAAGATTCATATAGTTAAGATCAATGCATATGCACAAACAACAAAAATCATTACATAGAAGTTGACAATGATACCAAGAGATTAAGTGTTCCTCCATATATGTAGAAACAGCCCACACAATAAGGTTAGGAGCATATTCTTTTTATTCTCCCTCATTTTTCTGCTGCTCGAGCATCAAAATATCTTTATTAAATGTCACTCCTACCCTGAAGTTTAACAGTGCATTGCAACACAGAGAGGTTAACTCAAGATATGGATCAAACATTTTCCATTCATTTAATTTATTAAAATCCCATTTACAAAGCTTCAATTCAAAATATATACAATCATTAAGATCATTGCTTAAAATTGTTTAATTATTCTTCAGGAGAGTTAATTTTCCCCCTCATCAGTTGCATACGCTGCTCTCTGATTCATGTGTTGGACTACAGAAATTGTAAAGGGACAATATTTTACTCAAGGGACAGAGTTCATCAACCCGTGACGATAACTTGGAGTTGTTTTTTGGGCTATGTTCAACATTATTGCATTAAATGGGCTGTAGTTGGGATCCTCGTTGGGTTTTTAACCCATTATAAATGGGTTTTTGTTTTGACCCATTATTAAAGCGTTAAAAAATAGTTTAATTTTGACAAATTATTAATATATTTTTATGTAGTTAACTAATTATGTAATATTTAAAATAGTTATTATAAAAATTAATTATTTATAATTAATTGACATTATAATTTCTTTTATATTATAATGGTGCCACTCAACGTTTTTATTGAATCTGTGTCCAGGTCTGTTACTTAGTGCCTGCATAATTGTGACCTTACAACAAAGAAACCTTGAATCAAGTTATAGTTTTCTAACTATATATAGACTTGGTTTGACGAAGAATCATAAATTTCCTGATCATTATGTTAAATGTATGTTCTTTTGATTTTTTTTCAGCAATAAAATATGTTAAAGCTTTAAAAAAAAGTTCATTTTTCACGTATTATTAATATGATTTTTTATATTATTAACTAATTACTTAATATTTAAAACATAAATTTTCAAAATATTCATAAAAATAATTATTTTAAATATAAAGTAATTTATAATCAATTGACGTTATAATTTTTCATATTATTGTATTGGCATCTAGGGATTTCGAGTAGATAAATGCTTGATATAAAGACGAATGCCCGCAATCTATATTATTATTATTATTATTATTATTATTATTATTATTATTCCTAATAAAATGTCACGTGACATTTTTCTATTTTTTAAATTCTTTCATTAAAAAGTTTTACATAAATTTTGTTCTTATTTTATTTTTAAAAAATATATTAATTAATTAAATTAAATTGAAATTTTATTTATTTTATTTTTATGCTTCTTAACTTTTTTTAAATTTTCACTTATTATTGTGTATTTTATAATTTTTTACACTTAAAACAATATCAAGCAAATTTATAGGTACTAAATAAATAAATTTATATCTCGTTCTTTAAGTAAAATTTAATTTGTCATAAAATATGTGCTTAACATAAATAAAAATAATTTTAATTTATTAATAATAGAATATAAATAATAATAGCATAAAACAATTTTTATGCATTATTAATCATCTTTCACCAAAAGTGTGACATAATTTTTTCTTCTTTCTTTCTTTAATTATTTTAATAATTTATTAATTTTCATTTATTTTATCTATACATTTTTATATTTTATATTTAGAATTTTTCATATTTCTATTAATATAAATTTTTATGCATCATTAATCATCTTTCACCAAAAGTGTCACATGGTTTTTTCTTCTTTCTTTCTTTAATTATTTCAATAATTTATTTTTCATTTATTTTATTTTTACATTTTTATATTTTCACATTTCTATTAAATATTTTATATTAATTTTAATAATCTTAACATGAAAAACTTTTAAGTACTAAATAAATAATTTAATATTTTTCTTAAGTAAATTTTAACATTTTAAAAATATATACATAGAATAATAAAATAATCATTTAATTTTATTAATAATATAAAATAAATATTTAATATATTAAATAACTATAAACTGATACATTATATGGGATATGAAATGTAGACAGAAGAAAAGAGAATGCATAAAAAGAAGGGAATAGGAAAGTTGTAATCTTTCTTTACAATAACGAGAAAATAGCTACTTTCTTATATACATAGTTAAGTATACTTTAATTAAATTTAAAAATATATAACTCTAATTTCTTATATACATGGTTAAGTATACTTTTTGGTTCTCTTAATTTGATTTATATACCATTATGATTTATAAAATTTTTGAGTTAATTAACTTGCCATTTTTATAAAAAATTATTATTGATAACATAAAGAGTTAAGAATAAAGTTTCTAATCCAATCCATAAAATGAGGAAAGTAAAAAATAGAGAGCTCAAATGCATTATTACATTTAGAAGATGATAGTGATTGATCCTCAATCACAATATTTTTTTCATAGCTCGCTTGGTTGACTTGGCTACAAATGATATTATATAAATAATAATAATAATATATAAAATAAATATAGATTTAATAAGTTGAAGTAGTATAAGCAGATAAATACTACTAAATGTTTTAAGCGATATTGAGTCGTTTACTGATCGGATGAACTTTCACTAGTAGTTAATGTTTTATTTATAATTGAGATGTATAGTTAGTTTCATGTACAAGAGTTTAAGTTTAGAAGTGATTTGTATAATTTAATTAGGATTTTACTCCTTTCAAATAAAAAAAAAATTGACAAATTATAAGATGTATTTAATTAATTAAGTTTTAGTTTAATTAATTTAAAAATAGTCTTAACAAAATTATTTTTTAAAAAAATAAATATTGATGGAATTCAATTTACCCTTGAATTTTTTTTAAAAATTTATATATAAAAAAATAATTTTATGTTAATATAAAATAAAACTACTTTTAGACATAATTGCTTAAATGAATTTATATTAATTTAATATTTATAGATTACAGAAGTACTAAATGTTTGATTTTATTTCTTTGAGAAGGTATATATATACACTTTTATTTTTATAACAAAAATTTATAACAATTTTTTTATTTCCTTTACGTTACTAATCTTATCGCTTTTTATATTTTTCAAATTTAATTAATATTTATATATAACTATTTGTTATATAAATATTAATTATCATGTTGAATAGTTAAAAGTGTCCTGTGTAAACGGAGGATTTTAATGAACGGATAAAAAATAGGATAAATATAATTTTGGTATTTCAAAATATACAGAATTTTGATCTTAATTATTACAATTTTTTATTTAGTGTTTATATTTTTATAAATTATTAATTTAGTCTTTAATAATATTTAAATGAGAATGTGATTAAATCAAATATTATAATGTGTCAATTTTTATATCACAAATTATTTTTAGATAGAAATTCTTTCTAATTTTGCACGGAAGCTGGAGATCGAATTCTTTTTACGTTTAAGTTTAACAAGTTTGCTTGAGTGAGTGTCTTTTCACTCTATATTCCATAGAGGATCCTAAATGAAGGTTTACTTTTAATTATTGCAAAAATGTCGTTAAGCTCGAATGACCCTTTCCTTGATCAATGGTAAGACCGCAACAATTTACGTTTCATTCAATTAAGAAATTACTATTAATTAATCACAAATTTTTAACTTTCCTTTTGAAGAATTGGAAGCAAACCTCATGCATGTGCCACAAGGAAGCATGCTAGAGAGCTGCGTGCCTCCATCTTGCCCAAAACTCCATACCTACTTGAAATTAAGCATTTCAATTCAACCTCCAAAAAGTTACCAAATTTCATATTAAAAGGTTTTACAGTGGCATCAGTTTCTGAGAGAGAAAATGTGCCAACATTTCAAATCAAGGAAATTCTCCACCTTGTATCAACACAACCCAATATTTACATGTTAATGATGTACATAAACCAATGTCAAGATATAGATAATTAAAGGATTAACTTGAGGCACACCTACCTCTTTTTACTATGCAAATCTATAATTTACAGATAAAACTGCAATGGAAGTTACATCGAAGCTAAACATCCCAACAATAACAAAGTAAGTGAACCCTTCAGATTATTTCTTAACCAATTTCTTTTTCACATGTATTGAAACAATTTAAGAAATTTCTAAATCGAGATATTCCTACTCTTACCAAGTTTGAATATAAATGCTGTTAAAAAGACACTCGCTCAAGTGAACTTGCTAGTATTGAGAAAAATTATTATTTTTATTTAAGTAAATCTAAATTCACTTAATTTTTGAGTAAGCTGTGAATGAACAGAGAGAGAAATTTTAGCTCTTAAAGTTTTAATTATTGTTGTTGTTGGTTGTTATGGAAGTCAATGATCCAATGAATTGTTTTTTTTTTTTTTACTAAGTCAAAGCTTTAGAAAAATGTATTGGATGGATTATTAAGATCATCCAACAAAAAATATTAACCCAATATATTTAATAAATTGAATTCTAACTTTACAAATATAGATGGTTTGGTTGAATATATACATCTTTGAATGAATTGGATAATTTATGGTTAATCAAACTCGGTTGCCACACGTAGCAGCAGTAACAAAGGAATTTGATTTCCATAAAAGATGTAAAAGAGAAGTCAAACTCATCGTTGAACCCTTTTTAACAGGTCAAATATCTGTATGTCCACGTCGTCTCCCCTCTCACGCGCTTTCTACATACTTCTGCTAAACAACCTTTCCAACTTGAGCTTACGTTGAACCATTCTCGTTCATGCTCTTTCTTTATGATCATTTGAATACTGAAAATTAAGAGTTTTGTATCATTTCATTTAATTTTTCTCCCATATTCTCAATATTATACAATTTTATTGCAAGAAATAATTTCTCTAAGATTAATCAGCATTTAATAGAGACATACATTCGAGTGCAAAATGAAACATTTTCATAATGTGAGAATTCAACCTACTTTGCTTCGAAAAATTATAACGATTGAAATGACAACATGATCTAATTACGCTATCATATAAAGAACTTTTAACACCAAAAAGCAGCAATATATGCATATATTGAACACGCGCTTTTGCATAAGGATATCTATCTATGTCAGCAATGTAGCGATCGAAGAAGGAAGAAAAAAATAAAAGAAATCTATAAAACTTATGTAGAAATAAATTTATATTGGTGTGCATTTTTACTAAAATAAAATAATTTGGTTAGCATTCAAAGTCCTAAAGACAGAAAATTAACCATTCTACAAAAAATAAAAAAATGTAAATTTTCAAACAACGTTAGGGTAGTTCCACCAAATCGGAACACCAATGGCAACTTCGTTACAAGAGTTCTTGTCATCAACACCGATTCCCAAGAACCGATCACCGGATTCCTTACTCGCCACCGTTCCCTTCACCGCCTCCACCGTGGAATTCAAACATTCCTCCGGCGGTGCCACCCTCACTGCGAAGCGAATGATTCCATTTCTTTTCCCTTCCCAGTCCCTCAACCGGTAACTGAACACTTGGAAGCAGTTTTGGGACACGACGCCGTTCAGAAAATCGGAAACGGCGATTCTGGCGACTCCAACGGGTCGAACAGCCTTGAACTTGTTGGATTGAACCTGGAATGTGATGGATCTTGCATGCATAGGCACGTTGAGCATTAACTTCTGATTCCACGCAAAGAAAGTGGAGTTATTGTTTCCACTGTCTTTGACCATGTTCGTTGTGCAGCATTTTAAAGACTCAGCCCGAACGACGACGTATGGATCCTCCGTTACGCGAAGGTTTTCACCTGATATCACCGTGATTTCTAGCGTACGTGAGCCAACCCCCATGTTGTGTGTGAAAAAATATGTGTGATGAATTAATGTATCTCTTTGATTTGTTTGCTGTGAAATGGTTAATACAAGCTTGTATATATATAATTGGTTTGGGTTTTGGAAAGGAACGCGAAAGAGGAGGGAAAGAAAGAAAGAGCGTAGTTGGTTTGTTGTTTCAGTGTTGTTGACTTTTTGACTTTGACCTTGGGCTATATGGAGCACTTTGAGCACGTCTGTGGATACGTTAACGATGCACTGTGCTTTATATTTTTGTGAAGAAATTGTATAGAAACACCAACAATTATTGAATGATGTTTCGCATGAAGAATATCTGGGACTTGGGGACAAGTTAATTTCCATTATATTTTCTTTCTCTTGCTACAATAGATAGCTATGAATACTGTATATATAATTATCTAATTGCGAAACTAAAATAACACTGAAGAGCTAGAGGTAATGAATTTTAATTTGTGTGTTTATATGATGTGCAATTTTGTAATGACTCGTAAATTAGTGAAAGGGTAATAAATATATAGAAAAGAAAAAAACTGGTAATGGAATAAAATTGATAATAAGCTAAATATTTTATCTAAAATTTCTCTTTAATATTATAATTCAAATACGATTTTTTTTAAAGAAATCAAAGCCGTCAAATGAAAATGACTCAAGCAATTGCTTAAAAAAAACTCACTTACAAGCAATTTACAACATTTTATGCTTGCTAAAAATTTACAAGGGCGCACCAAATATACAAAGTCACATAATTCATATTTTACAAAATTTCATCCGTACACATCGATTTATATATATATATATATATATATATATTTATTTATTTATTTATTTATTTTTTTCACAATACTACAACAAAATTAATTTTTAATGGCAATTTTTATAAATTTTAGTAGCAATAAAAATAGTCATTAAAAATTTTACTGGCAAAAAATTATTTACCATTGTATTCAATATCGGTAAAAATTTAACTAATTATTATAAAGAATGCTGGTAAAAATTTAATTTATTGTCGCTAAAAACCTTAATTTATAATGGTAAATATTAATGATAATTTAAATGGTCACTAAAATTAATTTTAAAATTAATTTTTTTATTCATTTATTAGCTTTTATTATTATTGCTAAAAAATTAAAATTATTTTTATTAATAATTTATAATCTTTTAAATATTAATAAGTTGATTACTAAAAATTAAAATGCTTAATTTGTTTAAAGCTGGAAAGATTAGTCATATAGCATTTACCCTTAGAAATTTTAAATCCAAAAAAAATAATATAGCTAGGCACCATAAGATATATAGATAGCTTGCTTTAAACTAACACAACTCAAATATCAAATAACATTAAAATGCTCCAAGATCTAAGTAACGTGAAAGCAATGCTATCATCTATTTTGAATAATTTCTAATGTAATATCAAAGTAAAAGGGTTATATCAAACATTTATTATTTTCTTTCACATTGTTATTCAGAATTTTCTAATTTTTCAGTTATCAAAACAATTACAAACTATGTCTCTTAATATAGAACAAGCATAAGAGAAGTTTAAAATTCCATAATGGAGGCCACCTTCCTCAACTTCAAAAGTTTCAATCACCAATGATATGACTAAAGCTAGTCGTTTAGCTCTATGGGTCCTTGAAAGTTCAATGTCAATTTTTACCCTGCACAGTCCCAGATTCAACTAAGATCAAAAGGTTGAAAAATAGTAATAATAATATTAATAATGCAAAGTGTAATAATAAGTGTCCAGCGAATAAGTAAGACAAATTTGGATAAAGACAAATTTGGATGGAATTCAAATGAACTTCCCGACACACTTTAAAGCCATTTGGTGATTCTCTGCATTAATGGTTAGAATTTTGAAAAATTCACCAATTTTAAATTTGATGTCTTTGTTATTATTTCTTCAAATCTACAGACTGGTTTCTTTTCATCATCACAATATATTTGTGATTCTTATAGAAACATTAAGAGTTGCTACTACTCTCTACAAAATGGTTCTCGCAATTTCACAAATTAAGAGATTAGTTCAAACCATAACAACTACCAGCCGTATTACCCAATAGTCCTTTACCAACCCTCAAAGGTGATGACAGACATAGTTAAGAAGGAAGCCCATGAAATGTGAAATGAACATAACTTAGTATCCTTGAGTATTAAAATAATTATCAAAACACCTAATCAATTGACACCTTTGAAAGACATTATATACAACTATGAAAAGCTAACTAAAACTGAAAGCAGGGACACACAGGCATAACACACAAATTGATACAAAAATGATACTCTCAGCTGAAATAATATATGTTCATATGACCTCAGATGTCAAGAGGTTATTGTTTTGATAGATCCCTCCATGCAAATAATATTAGCATATGCAACTTTGAAACAACACAAACAAAGTAACATAAATTGAGGTTGAAATAAAGAAATTGAAATCAACTTTTGTGACATTGGGATGATCAAGTTTATGCCAAACAACAACTTCCTGTATAAACACTGTCCTCAAGGAAGCAATTTCTGCTTGTGTCCTTTGGCCTTCTTCGCCCCAGTCCAACAATTTCACTGAGCATTAAGCAATTGTAATAACTCTGGTCAGTTCAATACAGAGAGAAAAGGAATCTTGCATATTAACAAAGATTGAGCAAGATCTGAAATATCACCCACAAAAAAAATAAAAGAACACGGAGTGGAAACTAAAAATCAAGAGATTGAGCAATATTTGAAACTCACCTTACAGATCTGAAAATCAAGAGATAGTGAGATTTAAAACTCACCTCACGCTTGCCATGGAATGTATTATATTATGCACAATGAGAGAAAAATAAATGAGTGTCGAGCAAGTAGAAATCCAAAGAATAGAAGAAACTCATATCTTATAGAGTGAAAATTGAATTACACTATAAGTGAAAGCTAAAACCCATACCCTATGAATAGAAATCAAAGGAGCTTTGCTGTATCATGCCACCGTAACTCTACTACTGATCCTGATTTTGAAAAAAAAAATGTATTACAATTAAAAACGAGAGTGTGAGAGTGTCGAGTGAAAAAATATAAAAATAATTACCAGAAGTAAGAATGTAATTTAAATTTTAATTAACGGTCATTTATAATAATAGTTACTATAAATTTAATTTATGCCGACTAATATTTAATAAATATATTAATTTATATTTATAAATAATTTACTGACAAATAATTTATGATTATTAAATAATTGTCACTAAAAATGACTTTTATTGTAGTGCAACTTATATACATAATACAATATAGTTAATTGTTTCTTCTTTTTTAAAAAAATAATTTTCATAACAAAATAGAAAAGGAAACAGATTATAAAAGGGGGTGCGTGTTATGGGTACCAATTAATGTCCTTATTAAACAGGGAGGTCCCAACCCCCAGTGAAGTTACTTTAATTTAATTTTTCTTTAATGTATGATAGGTACAAAAGTAACATATATAGATAATTACGAAAGAGACCAAGCGATCAAATAAAATGAATTTAGTTTGTATGTAAACAAATTTTATACGGCTTATTTAAACTAATTATTAGGACTTGATTTAAGTATATATATAGATTACTGGGCAGAGTTGAAGATGGCTCAACCAACCAAGCTGAAATCTCATTACAAAAGAAGCTGCAGATTACTGACCAGTTAGTCAGCTCATTACCTTCAATTTACGTCTTAGAAAATTTCACTGACACGAACCGTATCATCCACTCAACACAATTTGAATGTTGTGTGAATCAAAGAAAATGAGGATGACAAGCACTTCACAAACCATTAGGCAGAACTGGCTGCAAAATATATAATTAAAAACACTGAAGAATGTTACCTAGGAATTCAGCTGCAAGGTCATAGAAACTTTGTTATAGTCCAAGTCCACAGTAAAAATTAAAAAATTATAAAATCACTTGCATTTCCTGAAGGTAACAAAGTTTTATTTTATAATTTTCTTGTGGAGACTTTTCAGTTTCACTATACAAATCCTAATTCGATCAGTCAACCTCTCAAATAACAAGCAAAATGAAAGGCATTAGTGAAAATTACTCATAACTTGAAGAGAAACTTGGTTTGCAAGGGGAGAGGGGTTCTCGGTATCAGTCTATCAGCCTTGGCTAGTAAAATAATAAAATAAAAGAGAAATAGTTAAAGAAAAGTTTTTTTTATTTTAAACAAGTTAAAAAAATCTCATTAGTTGATGGTTTATACTGTATAAAAATTAAAAATTATAATAAAATTAAGAAGATTAAGAGAAGAGTTAACGTAAAAGTAAAAAAAAAAAGGATAGATTTCAGATAAAATAATAATATATTAGGTTAAAGTAAATAATTTACTTAAAAGTCACGTTAAAAAATTTGGAAAGGATATATGTAAAAAATATTATAACTAGAAAAATTTATAATAACACGAAGTTTTTTAAGTATCAAAAGCTTTGGTTATTGTGTATAAGAAAAGTGTTTACATTAAGAGTCGATAATTATAGGTAAGATATGTTGAACTATTAAAATTTAATATTTTTTAAATATTTTTTTGTTAGAAGCTTAATTTTAAGAATAGAAGTGTATATGATTTCACTTTCTTTCTCAACAGTGATATTTTAACAAAAATAACATAAAATAAAAAATAATTCTTTTTACAATTTGAAATTTTTTTATACAATGATGACTTCTACAATATTTTTTTTTGGCATAATCAAGAAGATTAAGATAAGAATTGGTAAAAATTAAAAAAATATATAAAACTTTGAAAGAAAAAAAAAACTAGTTTAAAGGGAATTATAACTTAAAGAAAAAAAATATTATAAACACAAATATTTATTTGCCATAATAACATTTAATCTCTTAAGTATAGTCAAAATTAAGTAATTATATGTCAAGTGAAAATTTACAACCTTATCCATAAATAATTTCAGAGTCTTAAAAATTTAAATTAAATGTAATATTTAAATTCACTTATATTATTTACTCATCACTTGTTAATATATTTTGATTCACTGTTAACAAAACTTGGTAAAATTAAAAATAATATGACAACACATTTAGTATATTTATTCAAATAATTTTCACAATATCTTCATTATTGAAAGGACGTGACAAAACTTGGTAAAAAGAAAAAAAATATTGACACCACACTTAGCATATTTATTTAAATAATTTTTACGATACATTGGCCGTTGAAAGATTTAATTTTATATTAAAAGATTTAAAAATTGTATTTACTTATTAATTTTTAAAATATTTATTATTATTAAATGATCTTTTAATTTAAAATTTAAAAATAATTGTTATTTTGTAACCTCTTCTTAAATCTAAAATAATATTTCAAACTTTTTTTTTTTTCTGAACAGGGTTCGAAAGAGAGATACAGTGATACCACACACTATTACTGTCTAAGAGTGGCTAAATAAAGTAGTTTTGCATGCAAATTAAAAACAAAATATACTCAAATTCACGTTACACATTATTTTTAAACAAATAAACTAAACGAAACAACTTACATGTTGAAACAAACTGACATTTAATATCCTGTAATAAATAATTAATTGACACTAAGCAATATTATATTTCAAATTAAAGAATAAAAATAATAGTATAAAACAACTTGTTGAGCTTGTGCTTTCCCGTCTAGGAAATTTAACCATGTCGACAAAACACCACCCTTACAATAAAAAGTAAATTATAATAAAAATAAATGATATACTCTTTAAATATGCAGATATAAGAGAAAAAACTATTTATTTAATATATTTTATTAACTATAATTTATTAAAAATAAAAAACTAAAATGAATAGTTTAAAGTGTGTGAAAACTTGCTCGTAAACTACTGTGGAGGCATGATCCTGCCGCATACGTCATTAAATTGACGTCTATTGTAGGAATGATTACTAACAAAACTTGATTGACGCTTCGATGCCTTCATAAGATCACGCGCTTTCTAAGTGCCTCTGTGAACAACCGTTGCAACTTGAGGACAATTCTCGCGCGTTCTTCATCTTTCTTGAAAGTGCACGCCAAAATATTCTATATTTTGATATTTATTATACCAAAATAAGGAGTTTGGCATTCAAGATTTTTAGCAAAGTGTAGGAACCTTCCTCTCAAAATACAAAATACAAGTAAACCAAAATTGACTCTCTTCCCTTACAGACCATTACAAAGAATTTTCAAATAATCAATCAAAAATAAAAATCTTCAAATAATATTGTTAGGGTAGTTCCACCAAAACGGAACACCAACAACAACTCCGTCAGATTTCTTGTCACCTACATTGATTCCGGTGATTTGATGACCGGAATCCTTCCCACTCACCAGAGTTGGCGAAACCGAGCATTTCTCCCACGCTGCTACCCTCACCGCGAAATGAATAACCCCATTTCTTTTCCCTTCCCAATCCCTCAACCGGTAACTCAACACTTGCAAGCAATTTTCCGCCACGGCGTCGTTTAGAAAATCCGAAACCGCGATTCTGGCCACCCCAACGGGTCGAACACCCTTGAACTTGTTGCATTGTACCTCGAACGTGATCGAGCGTGCATACATAGGCACGTTCATCATGAACTTCTCATTCCATGCATAGAAACTCGAGTTGTTGCTTCCACTATCTTTGACCATCTTCGTGGTGCAGCAGTTTAAGGACTCGGCCCGAACGACGACGTATGGGTCCTCCATTACGCGAAGGTTTTCACCCGATATAACTGTGATTTCTAGCGTGCGTGAGCTTATCACCATGCTTGTGAACTAAGTGTAACGACGAGTTATAATGTCTCTGAGTGTGTGCGAGTAACTTTGATTTGTTAGTTGTGAAGTGGAAGAAGGGGTTATATAACATAACATATATATACAATGGGTTTTGGAAGGAAATGCTAAAGAGATTAGAGAGAAAGAGCGTAAATGGTTGGCTATTTCAACGCTCTTCGGTTTGTAAAATGTGTTGACTTTTTGACTCGGCACTTTGACCATCGGATACGCTAATACGCTGTTTGGTTTATATTTTTGTAAAATTATGTAGAAACAACGACAGGGATGTTTTGCGTGTAACGCGTGTACTTGGGGTGGGGGACAAGTTTCTATGCCACTTTCTCGTTCTAACAAATATTAATGAACACCGTAATTTTTAGAAATACAATGTCTCTTATAGTTTATTTATTTTTTAATTATAATTTATGAATATTTCAACATTGTCAATATTTACTTAATATTTTTTACGTTTTTCTTCTTATTAAATTATATCACATATTGTATTTACCATTTTTCTCTATTATTTTTTTCTTACCAATAAATGTTTAAAATGTTTTTCTCGTTTTAAAATAATTTCCGATAAAAAATTGTAAAAGAAGCAGATGACCATGTGGGATGTGGCGGATCCACGTTGTGGACAAGTGGCCAACGTGGAACAGATATCTCTGTTACGGTGGCGGTGCCGACATCCAATAAATTCAAACTTTTTTTTCTTTAGGTACTAAATGCAGGGACAGATCACCTGATAAAAGGAGGAGTGGCGATGGTCTTGGCCTGCATTATACAAAATATCATTTATCAATAAATACAAATTTTTAAAATATTAAGATGGTCTTTATTATTATAATTTTTATGAAAGATACATTGTTAATATAAATTTTAAAAATCTGCCCATTATTAATATGATAACTTATATATAAGACTTCGTCTAAATAGTGCTTATGTAACTGAGTGCGCTTCAGTTTAATTATACTCTGCTAAGGAATTTCTTGGTTTTACTAACAGACAAAATAAGAACAAATCACATGAACTTTCGAAAGTTGATGATTCGATATCAACCAAACGAATTGAAGAGTGTGAGAGGGAGATCATTAACATTGCTTTACGTGTTAGAAACTAAACTTCACCGACCCGCACCGTCTCATCCACTCAACACATATTCAACGATGAGAATCAAGAAAATGAGGAGGAAATGAATGTTGGCAAGCCCCTAGGCACTATATAGCGTCACTAATGAACTGAAAATGAAGAAAGTTAAACTACCTAATTATGCAGTTGCATACATGAAGGCGTCTCTGTGTTTTATGTTATGTTTTCGAATTTTGTATATAAAAGAATAAAAGATAAAAATAATTGTATATGTTATGAATTTTTAATAGTTGAATTAAAAGAATCTCTTTTTGCAATATATATAGCAAATGAAAGTGATCAATTAAGGCATATACTTTAACTATTTTCTTAAAAAATCTTTTACACTTACTTTAAAGGTAATAAACTAAATTCACTATAATCCATATCACTGGCAGAAGTTTACTGGAACGTTCTCAAACAAGCTATTTTTTTTATATACCCAATCCGTAAAAAAAATGTTAAAAGATTTTATTTACATTCGACGATAATATTTCAATTTTCTTTAAAAGCTTTATATATATATATATATATATATATATATATATATATATATATATCTGAAATATAATTTCTTGTAAACATAAAAATATTTAAAAAGGATTAATATTTTTATATTTTTTTATCCACATTTTGTTTCACTGTTAAAAGACAATTGTTAAAGCTATCTGAATATGCTCAAGAGGGAGATGATTCCCACAACTTAAGCATTATTTAGGATTGAAAAAGCCGGTTAAACTGCTCAGCCTTCCCTATTTCCGCAAGTAAATCCGCTGTAAAGAAGGCCAAATTTAACTTTTTATTTTTAAAATGAGTTAAAAATTAAAAGTATCAAACTCATTTTTTTTAGTGTGAATTTTGCAGGTTGATCCATTTAAGAATAAATAAATTAATATGTAAAAGAGATAGATATAAAAATATAAATTTTGTAAGAAAAATAATATGTTGACATTCAAGTTTTAAATGCTAAATGGATGAAAAAGTTAAGAATAATATATAAAAAAAAATGATAGATATGGATATATAATAAAAAAAGCATGAAGAATGAGAATTACTATTTTAATACTTTCTTACAAAAGCATTCATGTTTGCGTACAAGACAAGATTTCTAACAAATTATATCAACCTTTATCACACAATATATATTTGAATTAAATTTGGCTTTCCTCACCCTCTTTCACAAAATACACAGCAAATAAAAAAATTTAGAAAATATATAAATCTTCAAACAACGCTAGGGTAGTTCCACCAAATTGGAACACCAACGGCAACTTCGTTACAAGAGTTCTTGTCATCAATCCCGATTCCCAAGAACTGATCACCGGATTCCTTACTCGCCACCGTTCCCTTCACCGCCTCCACAGTGGAATTCAAACATTCCTCCGGCGGCGCCACCCTCACTGCGAAGCGAATGATTCCATTTCTTTTCCCTTCCCAGTCCCTCAACCGGTAACTAAACACTTGGAAGCAGTTTTGGGACACGACGCCGTTTAGAAAATCGGAAACGGCGATTCTGGCGACTCCAACGGGTCGAACAGCCTTGAACCTGTTGGATTGAACCTGGAATGTGATGGATCTTGCATGCACAGGCACGTTGAGCATTATCTTCTGATTCCACGAAAAGAAAGTGGAGTTATTGTTTCCACTATCTTTGGCCATGTTCGTTGTGCAGCATTTTAAAGACTCAGCCCGAACGACGACGTATGGATCCTCCGTTACTAGAATGTTTTCACCTGATATCACCGTGATTTCTAGCGTACGTGAGCTTACCCCCATTGCAGAAGAAATTGCAGAAAGATATGTGTAAGTGTAATTATGAATGTGTATATCTGGTTTGTTTGAGTGAGTTTGCAAATGGTGAAGAGAGGGTGCATGTTTTTATATGTAATGAAAACGCGGAAGAGAGAGAGAGAGAAAGAGAGAGAGAAAATTGTGTTTGTTTCAATATTTTTGCTATGTAAAATGTGTATGGACTTTTGACTTTGGACGTTGACTTCCACGATCCGCGGCAATATTCACCCTCGGTTACGCTGTTTGCTTGGGAAGAAATTATATGGAAACACTCGCAACTAATTACTAATGCCGTGTTAGGATGACATGGAAAATAGTACAAAAATATAAGCAAAATAGTGAGAAACAAATAGATGGAGAAAAGATAAAAAAAAAAGAGAATAAATAAAATAATTTATTTTAAAAAATATTTTTATAATAAAAAATCATTTTATAAAACATTAAAAAACTTAATGTAATAATTTTTAGTTATGTAATTTTAACATTGTATGTTATTTTAAAAACTATTTTCAATAAAATGTAAAAAATAAAATTGTTTTTGATAGCTTTTAAGTATCCACACTATGTATAAGTACAATATGTACAATGCTTTAATAATTATTATAAAATAAAAATAAATAAGTACATTGTGTATTTTGTTTGAAAGTCAACTAAATAGAAAAAATTAGAAACTAAATAAAGTTAAAAATACATATCAAATTAAATATCTGAAATAAATATTTCATTAAAATATATTATTAATATATTCTCGTTGCATGATATTTAAAACAAAATTCTTGTTACGGTATTCTTAAACTTTAGGGTGTATTAAATACTTTTTTAAATTATACTAAAATATTAAAGGATATTAAATGTTCTTAAACTGTTATAATACTCTCTCATTTTTTAAATGCAGGAAAATTTACCTTAAAACATTCGTATGATTTTTACGAATTTTTCTATTTATATATTTTTAATCAGTGTTTTTCAGATTAGTATTGGTGCATAGTGCGGAAAATTTCAATGAATCATGGTGGTTGTGTGGTTTCTATCTTTTCCTAATTTTTGTTAATTTTATAATTTAATATTTAACTAATATATATCGCGTCATTTTGTTCTTGTTTCTTTGTACAATTTTTTTTTTCGTTCCATGTAGTAATACTCTTTTAAGACAATGCGAGTAAGATTCATAGATAAAATCTGCATTTCTACTTAAAATTTATAGAATACATGTGAACGAGTGCACATTGAGTAGCTTAGAAAAGTTCTAGTTTTGTCATGTTACTAAAAAAATGTTCGGTTTCCTTTATAAACGAAGTTTTCACAAATTTTCAAAGCAAAAATACACATTTTTTGCAAAACTAAAAAAATTAAAATAAAATAACTGCCAACCAACTTTCATACTGTATTGTATAAAAATCGAGCTTTTAGAGCATTAACTTTAACAACGATTAATAATTTTTTTAATAATAATACACTTAAAGAGTTGTTAGCATTTAATTACTTTGAGAGCGGTTCATAGAGAGAACCGATGAACCATTTTTTAATGTACACTTCTGAAAATGGTTAGTATTAAATCATTTTTTAGTTTATACTTCTGAAATCGATTCTCTGTTAATCACTTTCTAAAGTTATTTTTGAGAAGCAGTTAATAGAAAATTGTTTTCTAAAGTCTTTAAATTTTCTAAATGAAGCACGTTCAACTCATGAATCTTTTTGTCTTGTTAATAAAGTTGATCTCTGTAGGTTTTCTTTATTTTTTCTATACTAACAAAATTAGTCTTTTTCATATTTGTAGATTCTTTTTCTTTTTCACATTAATATTTTTTTTCCTTTACTTATTTATATTTAGTTCATGTAAATGTAGACTGTTTGGTTAACACAACTTATAAACTCAAGTTTTAATTTTAATTTGTGATAAAAATAAAAAAAATTTAAATATTAGACATAATTTTAAATTTAGACGTAACAATAAATTAATTTTAGTTTATAATGAAAAATTCATAAAAAAAATTTAAATTTTTAATTCACAGTTCATATTTATACTTTGAAAATATTCACTTTGTGAGAGTAGTTGTATATATAACTACTTTTCAATATCAACATTTTAAAGTGATTATTATTTAACAATTTTATTAAATATAATACATTAGATAACGCAAAATTTTAGAATAATTTTTAAATATTCTTTATATTAAAATAGAACTGCTCTAAAATATTTTATTAGCGTAATACTATTAGCGATAAGTGTTAATTAAGTTTATAAAAGTCATTAATATATGTTCGTAAGTGTTGATTTGATTATGTATTTTTATTTTAATAAACATGGCTATAAGATTTTAAGTTTAAGGATGGAGATTAAGTAAAGACTCACAAAAGTTTGTCTGAAGTGACAATTTATTTAATTATTTTTATTTTGACCAATTACATTCTTGTGTATTTTTTAATTGTCCATTCTGGGAAGGCAATATATAGTTTACATTCAATATTTTAAAAAAGAGGACATTCTTCCGAGCACGTAATCGATAGTTATGCAAATGGTATGAAATGATAAATTTTCTACCAACCAATGGCTTTAACAAGCCAAAGTTTATGGTTGTCTCTTGTATGAACATAATTAACCTACTTCGCGAACATACGTATACTATTGGTAAGAGATTAGAACTAAACATAAAGCACGAACAAAGAGAAAATTAAACAATTTAAGATACTTCATACTCATGGTCATTTTCAATTTCTTGGACTAGTTTTGAAAAAAGCAATAAAAGGAAAAGAAAATGCAGAATAATCTAGGCTGATTAGCTCTGGGTGTTCGCGTACACACTACTAGCCAGGGAATTTTTGGCCTCACTACAAGGAAAAAGAAAAGGTATATATAATTAAAGTACAAAAAAAACTTGGAAATTGGAAGTCACAGAAGAATCAACTAAACTATTTTGAACAATGTAGGAAACTGCGCAACATATCTTAGAGGCTAGTCAGTCAACTCATTACCCTCAATTTACGTGCCATGGAAAACTTGATGGACCCGCGCACTGTCATAACTACGCAACCCAAGCAAATTGAATGTTGTGTGAATCGAAGAAATGAGGATGATATATGTGAACGTCACGAACCCCCTAGGCACGTACCAGCTACAAATGAATGAGCTGAAGAACTATACCTAAGAATTAAGTGGCAAGATCAGAGAAACTTTGTTTTATAGACTCGGTCCATAGTAAAATTTGGTAAATTCTGTGTATGTTGAGCACAGAATTAAAAGAAAAATATTTGTTGAGCATTCAGTACGTACAGCTACCAAATAACCAAACCATGACCACCAGCTGGGTGTCGTTATCCTTTTGTCAAGTTTATCAACTTGCTTGACACTTTGTTTTTGGCATTATATAGTAATATCTAGTAACAATTAATTTATAAATTGATGACATGTTTAAACAAATATTACTCAAATGAGCATATACCTGGTGAGTATTAAGTAGAGATGGAAATAGTTAACAAAACATGTTATAAATTTTTTTTAATATTAATAAAAATATAAATATTTTATTATCAAATTAGTTTATATAATTTTCTAATTTTCACCTACATTATTAATAATTATTAAATAATTATAATATTTATATAATTTTATAAATAATTTTTAAAATATTATTTAAGCATTAATTATAAATATTTTATATTAATAAAATTTATATTTATATTTTTCTTGATTTATTTTTAAAAAATTATATAAATAGTAAAGATTTTAGTTTTATTTTAAAAACATATTTTATTTGTTTAAAGACATCTTACATTTAACAAATAAAGTTATAGTAAATACATAAAATTGATAAAAAAAAAATAACATTCACACAATTTGTTGAATCAATTAAAATAAAATTATTATATTTTTAAAAATAAATAAACTTAAATTTAATGCAATTTATATATATATATAATGACAATAATCATAACTATTAAATTAAAAAGTAATTACAAAATATTTAATTTTATTTATTTTATTAATTTTTATTTTAAATTAACAAATAAACATAAAATTAACTACATTATAACATTAATGTAATATAAAAAATATTACTTATACAATAAATTAAAACATATACTTATATATTACATATAAATTCATAAATTAACTAATAATTTAATTAAAATACGCGCAAGTTACAAAAATATATATTATTATATAATTTATTTATATTTATATTATTTGTTACATGGTCTGATTATAAATATATATATTAATATTAATAAAAATATAATTATTTTATTATCAAATTAGTTTACATATATTCAAATTTTTATTTGTGTTATTAATAATTATTAAATAATTGTAATAATTTTTATATAATTTTATAAATAATTTTTCAAAATTTTATTTGAACATTAATTAAAATTTTCTCATATTATAAAATTTTTATATTTTTATTTTTCTCAATTTAATTTTATAAAATTATTAAATTATTAAAAATTTTAGTTGTTTTTTATGATAATTATATTTTGTTGGTATAAATACATCTTATATTTAATAAATAAAATCATAATAAACACATAAAATTAATAAAAAAAATAACACTAACAAAATTTGTTGAATCAGCTAAAAAATTATTATATTTTAAAAAGTAAATAAATATTATCATTATAAAAATTGTAGATAAAAAATATTTATATTATAAAATTCATAGATGCAGAAAAATAGCATATGAGCATAGGAAAAACTATTAAAATTTATATTTAAATTAAAATAACTTATATTTCTCAATTTCTATCTTAATAAAAAAATATATAATAAAACTTAATATAAAAATTTAAACTTAATGTACTCTCTCTCTCTCTATATATATATATATATATATTGAAAACAATAATAACTATTAAATTAAAAAAATAATTACAAAATATTTAATTTTATTTGTTTCATTAATTTGTTGTTTTAAATTAACAAATAAATGTAAAATTAACTACACTATAATATAATATAGAAAATATTACTGATACAATAAATTAAAACACATACTTATATATTACATATAAATTAATAAATTAACTAATAATTTAATTAAAACATGTGTAAATTATAAAAATATATATTATTATATAATTTATTTATAATTAAATTATTTATATTATTTGCTATATGGTATGATTATATATATATATATATATATATATATATATATTATAATAAGTTTTTTATTTTATTTTGTTATCATATTTTTTATAAATTTTTACTTTCAAATAAAATATAATTTATATTTAAGTAATTTCTATTTATTATAAATAAAAAGAATTATAACATAATATATTAATATAACAATTAAATAATTAAATTAATAATAATAAAATTAAGAGTATAAAAAATATGTTAATATAATTTTATTATTTTATTTTTAAATTTTATTTTGTTTAATTTTGATTGCATCTTATTCCTGTTCAAAAACTTAACTATTCTTTAACTTGTTTAAATATAACAAATATAATAATTTATTATTAAATAAATTTATTATCTAAAAAGTGTAATCATGTATAAATATTTTTTATTTTTAATAGAATATAATTTCTGTTTATTATAATTATAAATAAATAAAATTATAAAATATATTAATTTAATAATAACAAAATTAAGAATATAAAAATATATTATTAAATAATTTTATTATTTAAATATATTTTGACAGCTCTATTTTTAAATTATTATAATATGTATATATATATATATATATATATATTTATACAGGCCGGTCTGTTAGGCTTAACAGACTTTATAAACAGCTCAGGCCTGACTTATTTACTTAAGTAGGTCTTAAAAAAAGTCTAAGTTTGATTTATTTATTAAAAAAGTCAAGTCAGGTTAAGTCTAAATCAAGTCAGGCCATAGGCCCCTATCAGGCGACTTAGCTTGTTTCCATCTCTAGTATGAGATAAATGCTTTCCAAAACTATTTTTCAAGAAGGAGAGTGATCAAAATATACTAGCGTAACTTAATTTCATTCTTACATTAGATAATTAAGTTTTTATCCAATAATTTAATTAAAAAATCAATTGTTAAATTAAAATTTTAAATTATAGATTATGTTTATAAAATTTTATAATAATCCAAAATTCATTAATACTTTATTCTTAAACATCAAAATTAATATGATATATATTTTTTGAATATTTAAAAGTAAAAATTCTATAAATACATTTTTGCAGCTGTTCAATTTTTAAAAAAATATAACAAATAATCTAGATAACATGTTATAATTCAACCGTCAGTTTTTAAAAAGAGGTTAGCATCATGTAAGTATAGGTATTTATCGATTGGAGGTAGGGTGACTTTGATTAATGCAATTCTTAATTCTATGTCATTGCACTTGTTATCCTTTTTTAAGGTGCCAAAATCGGTGATAAAGGAGATTGTCACTATCCAACAGAATTTTTTATGGAAGGGTGTTAATGATGGATCTAAAATCCCCTGGATGAAATGGGAAACGGTATGTAGACCGTGGAAGAATGGTGGCTTGGGCATTAGGAATGTGCAGTGGTTTAACTGGGTGTTTCTTGGTAAATAGTTGTGGCAAGGTGTTAATTGTTCTAGTTCATTGTGGGTGCGGGTATTGGAATCTAGATATGGAAGATTAGCTTCTTCTATTCAGCATCCATCATTTCACAACAGATGTTCTTTGTGGTGGCATGATTTGATGGAGGTTATTCATCAAGGAAATTATTGGCTGGATGAGAAGTTTGATAGAAGTGTGGGTGCAGGTTTACACACTCTTTTTTGGAGAGATAAGTGGGTAGGCAGGGTGCGATTGTGTGAAGCATTTCCACGATTGTTTGCAGTGGCGAGGAATGCTGAATCATGTGTATTGGAGAAAGGTTTTCATGATGGCACTAGGTGAGTTTGGGATGTTAATTGGCGAAGAAGAGTCTTTCAAATTGAGATCTCAAGCTTTAATCTTTTGTTAAAGTTTATGGATGGAGTTTCTATTAAGTTACCACAAGAAGATAAATGAGTATGGAGGGCAGATTCTTCAGGTTGTTATTCAGTACAATCTGCGTATTCATAGCTATTTGAACTTTTTGGTGGTCCTAATAGTGTAGATCAGTATACGGCAGATGCCTTGCAAAGGCTATGGAGAGGAAATGTCCCTCTTAAGTGTCTGGTATTTTCTTGGCAATTGTTGCTGAATGCACACCCTTGTAAGGGTTTGCTGATTGCTCGAGGTGTTCAAATTGATGATATAACTTGTTGCTTCTGTCATAGTTTAGATGAACTTCCAACTCATTTATTTTTAACGTGTTCAGTTTCATCTCAAATCTAGTACTTTACTGCGTGTTGGCTTGAATTCTCACTGGTTTTGCCTTCAGATATATCGACTTACTTGCTTTCTTGGATTGGTATTGGTTGTAGTAAAAGAGAAAGGGATATGCTTATTAATTGTTTGGGTAAGTATGTGGTTACATAGAAATAAAATTGTATTTTCCAATGGTGTTTTGAATGAGAGGGAAGTTCTAGATTATATTATTCTGAGGTCCTGTAAATAGCTATCACTTGTTAGTAAGGGAGAAGCTATTTTGTTAGCTGATTGGTATTTGAACCCACGAAATTGCATCCGTTTTAGCTTTGTATAAATATATTTTTGTTTTTTATTTCTCTGAGTTAGTAATTTTTTTCTGTGTATATGGGTTTTGAGTTTCCCTTAGACTCTCTCTAATAATATATGTTTTGCCTATAAAAAAATAAAAATTCAACCGATATATTCTATATAAGGTTATTAACAATGTAAAAATACGTATAATTTATACTACGTAAGTTGACCCATCTCCTTTCAAGAAATTTTTTTAACCATTCAAAAATACTAAAATCACTTTTTTTTTATGTTTTCTTTAATTTTATTAAAAACATTAATCACTTTTATAAATTTGTTAAACATTTTTTAATTAAAAAAAATGAAGTAAAAAACCCTTAAAACAAAAGGACTATTACATTCCATGACAATAAGATAAATATATCAGAATTTTTTTTCCCTTGAAAGCTACGGGCATCCAAAAATTATATACTAATCTAACTCAAGTCAGGTAAGAATATTATCAACATCAAAATTTAAATTTAAATGAAGTTTTATTTTTAAGAACTCAAACTCATGACCTTTTTTCCATTATAAGCAAAATAAATGAAAAGGATCGTATAAAAGATACTCTAAAATTGTATACAACCATAGTTTCTACAATAATGAGATATCACTAACAATTCTTGATAACACTTAATAGATCTTATGAACAATCAGACTCGAACTTACAACCCTTAATTAAGCTGAAACAATCTTCATCAGCTAATTAATTTATGCATTTGGTGGTGTAAAAGTTGTCTCTGACTAGGAAAAAAAAAATACAACAGAAGATATTTAATTTCAAAAGCCATGCATATTGTTCCTATTCTTTATTTCTATTTATAGCAAACATTCTTTTTTATGTTGTTACAAAAACAAAAGGAAACAGAAAGAAAAAAGTAAGAACTCTCACCATAACAAAGAAGAAAAAACTTCGAACAAAGTTCTGATAACTCAACGTACGTACCAAACTGGCATGCCAATGACAACGTTACTTGAAGTCTTAGGGTTCACCTGAAACCCCTTAACCTCAGGCTCAAACCCACTAGAATTCACATTGGTTATTTCCTCCTTTGGTTTCATTTCTAAGCTTGCGTAATCCTCTTGCATCACCCACCTCACGGAGAAATGAATAACCCCATTTCGTTGACCATCCCAATCCCTCAACCCATAACTAAACATTTGAACACAACTTTTAGACACAACATTGTCACCAAGAAAATCCGAAAGTGCTATCCTTGCTACCCCAATAGGACGAACCCCTCTGTACTTCTTGCATTGCACCTCAAACGTCACTGACCTTGCATGGGAAGGAATATATAACGAGAATTTCTCGTCCCACGTAAGCAAACCCTTATCTTTGTTCACCATTTTTGTGGAGCAACAACTAAGAGACTCGGCACGAACAACAACATACACGTTTTCCACCACTGAACTTTGATCGACACATATGTTTTCTCCCGATATAACGTTGATCTCTAAGGTGCGTGCATGTGGTTTTGCTTCCATATCTATAAGAACTTTGGTTAAATAAGTAGATATGCAAAATTATATACTATATTGTATCGAATATACTTTGAAAGTGTGTGATGATATGAGTAGTGTGTAATTGTGTTTGTGAAGGAAATATTGTTTGAGACGAAAAGGAAGGAGGAGCGTGAGGGTTTAAGTAATGGGATTGAATGCGAAAATGTGACGAAATAAAGGTTTCACAGGAAACAAACACGTAGTTTGTTTTTCCATGGAAAGAAAAAACAAAAAAGCTCCAAGGAATAGACACGAAAAAGAGTATAAAATGGTTATTGACCTTGACTCTGAAGTTTATTATGTACACGTAGTTGACGTACGTGGCAATCTCTTGGAAATTTAATGTTTTAGGTGGACTCATTCAACTGCCTATATAAAGAATATTCAACAATTTATGCACCAAAAAGAGAATATTCAAAAATTTATTTAATAATGCTCCTTGCTGGGCACTCTGCTTTCGAACTAAGTTTTCTCATATTGGATTCCTTTGGTTAATCGTGTTGGGCAGGTCAAAGCAACTCATTACCTCAGAACTCATCATACTTTTACACTCTTGCATGTTATAAATTTGAATTTATACTTTTTAAATAAACTTTAAGATTTTTTTTTTCATTTTATAAAACGTTTTCTAAACTTTCATGTCAATTTAATGTTTTTGTTACTCTTTAATAAGTTTTCATTCAAAACAAATTCTTACTTTTGAAATTATTACTAGTTAAATTTCCTCAATCAACATTTAATATATTACAATGTTCACAAGTTACTCGTAAAATTATCTTCTATTAGTTACACTAACTTTTCAAACATTCTGAAACTATAAATTCCGAAGCATGTATTTTTATAGATTTTTTTGGCAAAACATTTTTTTTCAAATTAATAAAAAAATTGATTAAATATGCTGACAAGAGATATATAAAAATTATATTATCATCAGATTCGTAGAGAGAGAGAGAGAGAGTTATTAGTCATTTATGTTCATTACATTATCATGCTTTTCTTGTTTAACAACAGATTTTGGCAGACACACACTTATAGATTAATTACGTACAAGACATCACCTGTGCCAAAAATTTGGAAATCAGCAATGGATTATCGATATATTAATTAATGTATCCCGGATGTGGAAATTGTTATCTTTTTTCCTTCTCAAAGTTTTGAATAACAAATACTGCAAATTTATAGTTTATAGTTTACGCAGTCAAGAGTTGTATAGAAATAAAAGGAAAAAAAACAATAACTTTTTTTATTAGAGTTCACACTACTAGAAACATATTTTATACAAATAGATAATACAGACGGATTTATAGATATTCATTTTTATTTTTTATTTTTTAGAGAAATCTGTTTGTATTATAGACAAAAAGAATTCATCTGTATTTCAGTCCACCGTTTGACGTGAGAACTTATAGACAAAATTACATATGAAATTTTTCGTTTGTAATTTGAAATTTAGTAGGATTTTTGGAGCGGAGGTTATAGACATCAAAAAATTGTATGTAAATATGACTATTTTTACTGACTTTTTATTTGTCTATTTATAGACGGATTTTTCCGTCTGTAATAGTTTTTGGTGGATTTATAGACGGAAAAATCTGTTTGTAATTAAATTCCTAAAATACACCATTTCATCAAATCATTTACAAACAGATTTTTTCGTCTATTATGTGTGAAACTTATCAAAACTACGCCTACTCCTTCTTCTCACTTTCCATTATTTCTTCTTTCTCTCATCTCCTTGTCTTTGTCTCTATCTAGCATTATTAATTTTCTAGCCTTTGCAAGTAGCTAGAGCATTCATTTAGAAAATAATTTGTATCATTGTATTCTTGATATGATACTTTAACTTTTAATTGATTTAGTTTTTTAAATTTTGATGTATAATAGAGATTTAAAATTTTTAAGATAGAGTTGTAGGACTAGAGATTGTATGACTAGGAGATGGGAGTAGAGGTCCTTTCCCAAACCTGATTACTGTGTGAATTGTTTGTACTTGCGGAGATTGTAGAATATGCATGTTGTGGAGTTATAAGGGGATGTGCTCTAGAACGGTTTAGGATTGTGATGTGTATGCTTTTGATGCATTGATTAATAATAGATTGTTATATAATATATAGATTATGTGTAAAGAAAATTTAGATTTTTATATTAAGTACGTGTAAACAAATGTAAGGAAATATTCATATATTAAGGAAAATTCTGTCAAAATTTACATTAGAAATTTGTTATATTAAGTGTAAACAAGTGTAAGGAAATATTCATATATTAAGAGAGATTTTGCCGAAATTTACATTAGCAATTTGTTGTATTAAGTGTAAACAAATATAAAGAAATAATCATATATTAGAAGAAATTATGCTGAAATTTACTCTAGAAATTTGTTATATTAAGTGTAAACAAATAGAAGGAAATATTCATATATTAGGAGAGGTTTTGCCAAAATTTATATTAGAAATTTGTATAATATAAAATAAAAGGTTGATACATGATGTAACATATTTTAGGTTTACATTTATAGTTTTCTTTTTATTAATAAACACTTTTCATATGCTTTATTTTTATAATTTTTACCATTTTCTACATATTTGAATAAATTGTGCCTATTACAAATAAATGCTTTAATTTCGTATTTTCGATTATTCTGAACTTTGATACTATTTCGACTATAACTTTTTCTATAGATATCATTTTTGTTTTATTCCAGTTGCATTGGATTCTACACATTTAGGACTTTAGAATGCATATATGGGTTGTTGGATTTGAAGTTATTTTTTATTTATTTTTAATTTTTTATGATTTTTTTTATAATTATCTGCATTAAACTGTAGGATGACTATGTTCAAAGGTTTGAGGAGACATTTTCTCAAGATCCAGAGTCAGTTGATGAAGATACTATATGATTAGAGACGGTGAGTGGCCTTTATAAAGGTCGTATTTACAACATGGGAGCCGCTTTGCAGACTCCATGTCTAGCATCTGTCACTGAAGATGCTCTTTCTCTTACACCTGAGGAAGTAGAGGACATTATCTGCACTCAGGTCTATGCTCTCAATGAAGAACTGCAGAAGCAAAATGAGAAGATGTGGAAGACCAAAGAAAGTGCATGGAAAAAGAAGTGGGCGAAGAAAATGAAGAAGAAAGTGGCATCGAGTATGAGAGGAAGGTGCAGAGCAGCATATGCAAATGTAGCAGATGCATGCATACTTTGTGCTTACGAGAGCAAGCAGCTTCACCTTTTCCTCCTCCTTTATCAGCTCCAATACCACCAATCTTCAGCTTCATGCCTCATTCCTCCTCCGACTCTTCCTTTACTGATGATGATACTTTTTTAGAAGATGATCATACCAATTATTAGTGATATACAATGCTATTTTATTTTTTACATTATTTATTAAGATATTTACTTCTTTATTTCTGTAAATTCATCTATAATACTAAAATTTATCTATAATAATTAAAAAATCTATTTATAAATCTATCTGTCAATCTGTCTATATTTGCAGGTTTTCTAGTAGTTTAGAATGACGAGAAAAATAAGTTAAAAAAGACTAGAGAAGAAGTTTAAAGGAAAAAAGTGAAAAGAAAATAAAATTATACAATTGAAAAATTGACTTAAAAATGAATGTTTTTTTTATGAAGTTCAAAGGAAGAAGAAAATTAATAGTAATATTTTAAAAGAATTAACATTTGTAAAAACTTATTTAAAACAGTTTTAAAAGTTAAAGGATTTAAATAAGAAAAAATAAAAAAGTTAAACTAAATAAAAAAAATTAAGGAACCAATTTATTAATTTTGTAAAAAAAATTATTCAATATATAGAAATTAAATTCTTAGAAAAGTTTGTTTTTTTTTTAAAAATTTATCTTTCATTTATACTCTCACGACTTTCTTTCTCTCTTATCATTACCTTGTTCTCCATGATAATAATAATAAAAACTGGCTAGGCATGACATGATAAACAGATAAAAAATAAACTTGAATATTTATTTATATATATATTTTTACTCTTAAAATGCATGCATTACTTAGGATGACTCAAAGAAAATCATATAAACAGTTAAATGTCTCAAGTCTCAACTACAAAGTCTCAGTGTCTTAATTACATCAATGGGACATGAAATCGCAAATGGTCTAGTTACATTGCATTCACCGTTTGCATTGTGTTGAAAGAACATGCATTTAACGAAAACTCTGTTTAAAGAAAATTACATAGACGTTTTCTGCGAGCCACAGATCTTTAAAACAATGGGCTATACAGTCATAAACCAAACCATGTAGTCCTTGTTTTAAACGGGATTGCAATGTGTGGGGTCTTAACTATGCATATATTTCAAATATTTTCTCTTGACATGTATTTTAAATATTTTACTTGAATTAATTCTTGAGCTTTTTTATTGTACTTGAATTTTAAAATTATATTAATATAATTTGGTTGACAAAAGGTACCATAATTTTACTCTCCGGTTTTAAAAATTTATAGCTTAACCATGTATAAACCCACATTTTACATTTTGTCCAATATAGCTGCGTTTATAGTTTTTTTTCTTCTCAATTTAATATTAAGTTAAATTATATTTTTAGAAATTATTTTTAAATTTTAATTTATTTCTCGTAATAAAATATTATTAGTCAAAATTAAAATATTATTTCATTTTATTTTTATCAAATTTAAAATTAATTATATATAAAATCATTTTAATTTAATAATATCTATATAATACGCGAATAACTCACTAAAAAAATATATGAGATACGATATGAAGTTGTGGCATTGCAATAACACCTTAACATGATCTTATCTATTTTTTCCATTTAATTATTGATATGATCTTATCCTCACATGATTAGAATTTATTTGGAGACGAGGAGATGGATAAACTTAGCTAAAGAAACGTATTTTATGCGTCAATTCCTTTTCACTCGAACTTTTCCCTTTAGATTACGTTTGTCACTGCAACCATACCATCACCGCCCACAGCACCTTCAGTCCGGTTTGTCAGATGTAAATTCGATGGCAGATACTATTCTACCACTAGATTACTGGTATACTTTTAAATCAAAATAACTTGAAAAGTAGATAAAAGCAATCCAAATTTTACACACATACACAGCAAACTGTCTTTTCACAAGAAAAAGTAGAGCAACTCAAACTTGACTAATGCTAGTTGAGGCGTTCCACCGAACGGGAATGCCAGTAACAACACCTTCGCAGGAAGAAACACTCTGAGCACCTTTCTGCGACCCACAAGAACCAGCAACAACCTCTTCAGCCCCCACAACTCTAACGGAAAAATTGATGATCCCGTTTCGCAAGCCATCCCAATCCCTCAACCGGTAACTCAGAAACTGCAAGCAGTGATTAGGAACCGACCCCCCAAGAAAATCCTTAACCGCCACTCTCGCCACGCCAACGTCCTTCACACGCGTTCCCGTTTTGCTCTTCACTTCGAACGTTACATCCATCACGCGCTCGCGCAACTCCACCAAGAACTTCTCGTTCCACGTGTGGAACCCCCCTCCTTCGCCATTGCCCTTCATTGTTGTCATTTGGCTCGTCAGAGAGTCGGCGCGTACACCCACGAACACGTTCTTGTTCGCCGCCTTTCCGTTTATGCGGAGATCCTCCGCCGATAAAATCGTTACCTCTAGTGTTCTGCTTTTGCTTCCCTTAATCATGCCGTCAAATGAGATCAAAATAGGTTTTGAGAATAATGGAATAAATAAAAGGGTTGGCCATTGCACCTTTGTATATATGATAAGGGGGCTTTTCTATTTAAATACTGTAAACTTAAAAATAAATTCTTAATAATAATTTTTTGAAACTATTTTTTTGTTTGGAGTTGTCAGTCCACATGACACTAATTTTGCCATTCTAGTTAACAAAAATGTTAAATTTTTATTTTTTAAAAATAAATTTTACTACAAAAATTATAAAATAATTAGATTATAACATGTGTCAATATTTATAAAATTTTGTAATATGATTGATAAAATTAATTATCAATTTTACCTTACATAGTACGAAACTTTCAGACTAGTGACAAATGTTATAATCTGAGTGAGTTTCGTCGTAAAAATTACACAACTTATATGAATCTGACGACAAATGTTATAATCTGAGTGAATTTCGTCGTAAAAATTACACAACTTATATGAATTTGACACATGACATAATTCTAGACTATATAGGCGAATTTATCTTCATTAATTTTAATAACATAATCAAACCAGATCTGATTTACATTTAGATACAAATCATTATCACATTTAAAATAAAAATCAAATTACTAATATTCCATTAGAAAATATTTTTTTTATATATAAATTCAAATTACAACTTAATTAAATAAATTTAAATCACTAACATAATTAAAATTTTTATAATTAGATACCAATTATGATTACATTAAAAATTTAAAAAAATAGTAACATAATACAAGAAAATATTTTTTATATTTACATATAAATTACTATTAATTTTTTCATGTACTATATTAATATTTTAAATTAAATTAAATTATTTTAAATGAATAATTAAAAATATATTACATATTTATTTTTAAATTTAATATATTTTAGAAATTTTTAAAAAATATTACAATTATTAACCATAAATATTTTATTATATTAATAAAATTATAAAAAATAAGATTAAAATCAATATAAAATACAAAAATATTCCATGTGCGAAAAATATGTAACATGATAATAAAAAATTAATGCTTAAAATTACCCTTATTCAAAAATATTTCTACATACATCCTCATTTAATATTATTTTAAAAAGTATTTGTATTTAAAAATTATATAAAATATATAATAAATATTAATACTACTAAAAAATAATTTTAACATTTTAAATCAATTTCAAAATAAGATTAAAAATATTTTTTTATTTTAAATAAAATTTAAACGCTGAAATGTATGGGCATAAATATTTTTAATTTTTAAATTAACATTGTTTTTTATATATTACAAAAAAAATTATGTAAAATAAAAATATATTATTTGATATGATCAATAATAATTGTTATTATTATATTGTATTGAGAAATTTTATTTTTTAAAAATAGTGTAATATCTTATAATAGTACAATAACATATTATATTATAATATAATCATGATATTTTATAAATCTATTATTATTATATAAGATCGATAACATTTATAAAATTATAATACTAGTTTTTACTATATAATGTAATATTTTTAATTATGTTAGTGATTTAAATTTATTTAATTAAGATATAATTTAAATTTATATGTAAATAAAACAATTTAATAAAATTTAATAATTTAATTTTTATTTTAAATATGGTAACGATTTGTATTAAAATATAAATCAAATCTAGTTTAATTATGTTACTAAAATTAATGAGGATAAATTTACCTAATAACTTAGAATTATTTCACTTGTCAAATTTTTGTAAATTGTGTAATTTTTATGATAAAAACTCACTTAAATTATGACACATATTATCATATGAGAGTTTCATAATGTGTATAAAGAAATTGACAATTAATTTCGTTAATTATATTACAAAATTTTATAAATATTAACACATGTCACAGTATGTTAATTTACTTTAAAACATATTAATCCTAATTCCTTTAGAACGAGGATAAACTCGCCGTCGTTTGAAACTTGGAAACGATAGTTCCAACACTGTGAAGCGTGGACGGTAGCACTGCGATTTCCTATATTTTAAACGTGCTGTAATTGTTTTTTTTTTATTATTATTATTATTCTACTTTTAATTACATGGTGTTTTTTATTTAGTCAATTAAGTACCTTTACTTTTAAAATTTAGTCTTTGTCTATTTTCCTCTGCTTTAAGCTCTTAAATTCTTACTTTTTTACTCAAAATTTTCATAAATTAAAGTAATTAAAATATTTTTGCTAGTTGAATTAACTATTTTTTTTTCTAATTTGAATTTATTATATTATCTGCTTGTAACTCTAACATCCGCATTTTTTAAAGAAATCTTTACAAATTAAATTAATTATAAAAAAACACCGACCAAAATATTAAATTTAATTTGAAAGAAAAATTATAAAAACATTTAAAGCCCAAACTTCATATCTCACAAAATCCTTCCAATTTTATCAATTTTTTACTTAAAAACTTAAAATTATTTTATAACCTAATTTGCCTACAAACAATAATTTTTAAATTTTGAATAACAACTAATAAAATATCAATTTTATAAATTTTTAAAATGTAAAATTAATTAACTAAACAAATTATTAAAAAATTGCATTTAACCCCTTAATTAAGTTCTTTTTTTTTTTAAAAGGCTTTTATCGTTAATTCAACCCCTATCGGGTCAATTTTAGCGTGAGTCAGGTATGACTAAGATTGGTCGGGAATTTCTTCCGAAACACGGCGCCGCTAAAATAAATTCGTTCTGTTTAACTTTAGAGCCCCTTGTTTCCTTAGAAATCAACCAAACCGAAAGTATAATACAACACTGAAAATAAATGTTTTAATTTAACTTGCAAGATTTTCCCATATTATACAAATATTTTACATTAAAATAATAAAAAATTGATGCCATTGATTATAAATAAATTAACAATAAACTTTTAAAATTAAAATAGATATAAAAATTATTTGATATAAAACGCATTATTATATGCTTTTAATACACCTTTTGCCATAAATAATCTGCATATTTAGTTAAACTAAAATAATTTTATGTTAATTAATCATGTACTCGTTACTATATAAATTAATTTAATACAAAATATTGAAATGTAATAATTAATTTAAAATAAAATTCATTAAATTTAAATAATAATAATAATTAAAAAGATCAATATTAAATTTAAATAATAATTGATTAACAGTGTAAATTTTTTTACATTTAACAATACACTAAAATCAAACTTTACCAATTATATTATATTGTAAATTTTGTCTTGAGCATCATTAATTAATTAAATATTAAGAATTTAATTTACTTTAATTTGATTTTAAAAAAATAGTATAAATGCTTCTAAAATTTATTGTTCATGTCTTAATAAATAAAACTGTATTAAATATTTAAAGAGAAAATTTTTCACCTATAATAGTCTTGTACCGGATAAAATATTACTCTGTCCTACTTATAGAAAAAGGAAACTGAGTATCCTTTCGCTTTAAATAGTCGAGTACCCTCTCAGTCAAGTTAAAAGATAATTAATCTAATTAAGGGGTGATAATTAGACCATTATCTACTATAATTAAAGGGCTAAAGTCAGGACTGACTCATAAAGCCCATTAGTCCATAATAATGCTTATAAAAGGAAAGTAAGAAGTACAAGTAAAATGTTGACTTCTGATTATTAAATAACATTTATTTTCTAAACTGATACTTGACTTTATTATTAGAGTACCTTTTGCAGGTATATTTTTTTGCGTCAGATCGTGTCAGTAGTATCACGAAAGACGTTATCTTAATTCGAAAGAGACGAGAAGATCAATTATTCCTCAGCAGGAACAAATCTTATTCACTTCAAACATAATTTTTTTCATTAAAAATAACTTGCAGTCTAAAAATAATTACACAAAGACAAGAGATTTAATTAAAGTTGAAGACAACAATTGTGGTTAGGTGTTATTTGAAGAAAACAATTTTAAGAATAATTACGCTGACCAGAAGGTTTTCACATCACAAACATGAACAAAGTGTTTTATAATTTTAATGTGCAATGAATCTGTGAGTACGTGACTCCAACCTAAACCACTATTCCAAATTTTGGGCACAATAATATAAGTTGGTCAATGTGAGTCAGCTTTGAAGGAGCATAGATTCCTGGGGTCCCCTTTATCCATTACAAGTAGAAACAAGGCTTTGAATATTTTCTTCCTAAATTACTTTTCTTTGCTTGTGAGTTGGACATGAGTCATTCAGCTTAACATGAATCAAAATTAAAATATGCTTTTGCGTCTTCACCATGAATTGCTAAAACATTTGGCTGGAATGCCAATTGAATTCAGAGACGTAATCACAACAATTGGTTATGATAAATACAATTTGAGTAAATTAAAACTTTCATCTTTTAAGAGAACCTTTTTTACATCTTTTTTTAATAAAGAGATGTTTAACTTGTATTCGCTTTTTCTCTCATTTTTAAACATGTATGCTTTTTCTTTAAGATATTGGTTGTGAAAACCCTCCAAAATCTCACCCACGTATATTTTTTAAAGGATGGTTTGATTAAGGAAATAGTTTCTAATTATAAACTATTACATTCTTTATTTTTAAACATTTATTAGGAAACAGTAAAAATAATAAAAAGTTCTTTGAAAAATGTGTTTTTTTTATTTAATTTATTTTTCTTCTCAGTTTGTGCTGTCCCAAACATTCTTGAATTAAACTGGCAAATTCATTGATTATTCGATCGAAAGTATGGTTTATACATGGTGCATAGTTTTAGTTATGTTGCAAAGATAACTTGTAATGGATGTATGCTCATCATAAGAAGCCAACCTTTGATTTAAGTAAAGTTGGTGACATTTAAAACTTTCGTAAAACCTGGAAACAGAATAATTATTACATGTAGTGGGAGGATACATTAGATATAATTGGTCTGTAAATGTCTAATATTTCAAGTTAATACAAATACATACTCTTTTACCTTTCAAATTGTGAAATGATAAATACAAATTCAATGTCATCAGAAGTTTTGA